AAAAAAATAATAAAGGAATTTGTTTGTTTATTTGGAATTTGTTTTTGTCAAACAGTTGTTTTTCGACTGTTTCATGTTGCCCCAGTCTTCCCTAATTTACATTTTTCAATTATTCGAAATTTGAACATTAAATTGATGGTTGATAAAATAATGGTGAACATGCACTTCGCCAACCTCTATCGATATGGGTTTTTTGGGGTTAATACCAGCCGCGTCCCCATCGCGAACCCTGGGTCATGCTAAGTGCTGGTAGGGCTTGATTAATTCGCCTTACCACGCACTTTGAATTTAATTTGAATACCTTAATAAAAATTTAATATTTATATTAACATGCCTTTAGAGGGAAAGGTGCCGTTTGGGGACACCCGTTGATCTATGTGAGCATCCATTCTATAATATGAGATGACTCAAAGAGGTTTAAATTCATTAATAGCAACCTAGGTTTTCACGTGAGGGTGATGATGTGTACCTTTACCAAAATAATTCTGAATCTGAATATTAAAATAAATAAATAAATATTCAAATAAAAAATATTTATTTATTTAACAAAAATTTAAATATTTAATAAATATTTAAATCGTCTCCGAATATTTAAATTGTCGATTAGCGCAATAATCAAAAATTGGTGAGTAATATTACCACTAGCCTTCTCCAAACATAAACTGTAATAAAAAATGACTAATAATGTTAAAGTTATGTTAATATTTATATTAACATGCCTTTAGAGGGAAAGGGGCCGTTTGGGGACACCCGTTGATCTATGTGAGCATCCATTCTATAATATGAGATGACTCAAAGAGGTTTAAATTCATTAATAGCAACCTAGGTTTTCACGTGAGGGTGATGATGTGTACCTTTACCAAAATAATTCTGAATCTGAATATTAAAATAAATAAATAAATATTCAAATAAAAAATATTTATTTATTTAACAAAAATTTAAATATTTAATAAATATTTAAATCGTCTCCGAATATTTAAATTGTCGATTAGCGCAATAATCAAAAATTGGTGAGTAATATTACCACTAGCCTTCTCCAAACATAAACTGTAATAAAAAATGACTAATAATGTTAAAGTTATGTTAATATTTATATTAACATGCCTTTAGAGGGAAAGGGGCCGTTTGGGGACACCCGTTGATCTATGTGAGCATCCATTCTATAATATGAGATGACTCAAAGAGGTTTAAATTCATTAATAGCAACCTAGGTTTTCACGTGAGGGTGATGATGTGTACCTTTACCAAAATAATTCCGAATTTGAATATTAAAATAAATAAATAAATATTCAAATAAAAAATATTTATTTATTTAATAGATATTTAAATCGTTTCCGAACATTTAAATTGACGGTTAGTGCAATAATCAAAAATTGGTGAGTAATATTACCACTAGCCTTCTCCAAACATAAACTGTAATAAAAAATGACTAATAATGTTAAAGTTATGTTAATATTTATATTAACATGCCTTTAGAGGGAAAGGGGCCGTTTGGGGACACCCGTTGATCTATGTGAGCATCCATTCTATAATATGAGATGACTCAAAGAGGTTTAAATTCATTAATAGCAACCTAGGTTTTCACGTGAGGGTGATGATGTGTACCTTTACCAAAATAATTCTGAATCTGAATATTAAAATAAATAAATAAATATTCAAATAAAAAATATTTATTTATTTAACAAAAATTTAAATATTTAATAAATATTTAAATCGTCTCCGAATATTTAAATTGTCGATTAGCGCAATAATCAAAAATTGGTGAGTAATATTACCACTAGCCTTCTCCAAACATAAACTGTAATAAAAAATGACTAATAATGTTAAAGTTATGTTAATATTTATATTAACATGCCTTTAGAGGGAAAGGGGCCGTTTGGGGACACCCGTTGATCTATGTGAGCATCCATTCTATAATATGAGATGACTCAAAGAGGTTTAAATTCATTAATAGCAACCTAGGTTTTCACGTGAGGGTGATGATGTGTACCTTTACCAAAATAATTCTGAATCTGAATATTAAAATAAATAAATAAATATTCAAATAAAAAATATTTATTTATTTAACAAAAATTTAAATATTTAATAAATATTTAAATCGTCTCCGAATATTTAAATTGTCGATTAGCGCAATAATCAAAAATTGGTGAGTAATATTACCACTAGCCTTCTCCAAACATAAACTGTAATAAAAAATGACTAATAATGTTAAAGTTATGTTAATATTTATATTAACATGCCTTTAGAGGGAAAGGGGCCGTTTGGGGACACCCGTTGATCTATGTGAGCATCCATTCTATAATATGAGATGACTCAAAGAGGTTTAAATTCATTAATAGCAACCTAGGTTTTCACGTGAGGGTGATGATGTGTACCTTTACCAAAATAATTCCGAATTTGAATATTAAAATAAATAAATAAATATTCAAATAAAAAATATTTATTTATTTAATAGATATTTAAATCGTTTCCGAACATTTAAATTGACGGTTAGTGCAATAATCAAAAATTGGTGAGTAATATTACCACTAGCCTTCTCCAAACATCAACTGTAATTAAAAATGACTAATAATGTTAAAGTTATGTTAATATTTATATTAACATGCCTTTAGAGGGAAAGGGGCCGTTTGGGGACACCCGTTGATCTATGTGAGCATCCATTCTATAATATGAGATGACTCAAAGAGGTTTAAATTCATTAATAGCAACCTAGGTTTTCACGTGAGGGTGATGATGTGTACCTTTACCAAAATAATTCTGAATCTGAATATTAAAATAAATAAATAAATATTCAAATAAAAAATATTTATTTATTTAACAAAAATTTAAATATTTAATAAATATTTAAATCGTCTCCGAATATTTAAATTGTCGATTAGCGCAATAATCAAAAATTGGTGAGTAATATTACCACTAGCCTTCTCCAAACATAAACTGTAATAAAAAATGACTAATAATGTTAAAGTTATGTTAATATTTATATTAACATGCCTTTAGAGGGAAAGGTGCCGTTTGGGGACACCCATTGATCTATGTGAGCATCCATTCTATAATATGAGATGACTCAAAAAGGTTCAAACTCATTAATAGCAACCTAGGTTTTCACGTGAGGGTGATGATATGTACCTTTACCAGAATAATTCCAATTTGAATATTAAAATAAATAAATAAATATTCAAATAAAAATATTTATTTATTTAACAAAAATTTAAATATTTAATAAATATTTAAATCGTCTCCGAATATTTAAATTGTCGATTAGCGCAATAATCAAAAATCGTTGACTAATATTACCACTAGCCTTTTCCAAACATAAACTGTAATTAAAAATGACTATTACGCCGCCGTCTGGTATAGTGACTCACCCCCGGCGGACTCAAGTCCTCCTCCTCCGAGATCAGCCTCTTCTTCCTCAGAGGTCTCTTCTTGAACTGCACCCCCAGAGGATTCCCCTGAATAGTCTTCAACCTATCCACCTTCTTAACACCTTTATCACCCGAGCCACTGGACCAATTTCGCCACCAACTCCCGAGCCCCGGAGTCTTCCGCTCCGAGGAAAAAATCGCGTCGACACCCCTGACCAACGTCCCCCGAGAGCTCCCCCAAGTCAGGAAGACCCTCTCAACACTCGCGACCATCATCTCGTCGGCAAAAAACTGAGATCAAACTCCTCGCTCCAAAAACACGAAATCAAACTCCTCAACTCGACTTGTCTCATGCCCCACGTGCACACCAAAAAATCAGCTCCCTCCTCACCCCAAAACCGCGTGTTTCCTCGCAAATACCCCAAAATACGCCGACAGTACTCAACACCGGACTCGACCTAACCCCACTCAGCAGTCCCTCACGAGAAAAGCGAAATGTAAACGCGACCGGGTGTCACGTGGTTCCCTCCCAAGCGAGCGAAGAGAAATTTCATCGATCAGGCGACAAATACCCACGTCTTGTTGGCCCCGCGGCATGCGCACAACCGCCAAACTCCCGACGACCACTCGCCATTGGTCCCCCACGTACCACGTGGTGCCACTTTTATTTCCCATATGATGCGCGCCAGTTTGCTCTCAGCTCACTGGACGCACCTGATGCACACCCAGAACGCCGAAGCCCCGTGACAACTGCACATACCCAAGTTATTCATCAAGCCCCCGACCAATTACTCCCAAAAAATCAAGAAGAACCGAAAAAAACCGCGAAAAGCCGCGGACATTGCCCCGTAGTCGGCCATTGCCGTGAAAATTCCACCGCAAAAATCGTCGATGATTCAATTTCCCTGGGCCCTCAATCACATCGCATATAGTTACAGACAATAATCTCGTTGTCGGCAAAAACTGTTGTCGGGGCGGTACGTTTGGCCGTGAAGGAGCTCCAGCGCGGGGGGCGGCGGAGGGGAGGCGGCGGCCGAAAACGGTAAAAATGCGCTTGCGCGTATATTCAACCGTCAGAGAGGACGCTGGTAAACACAGTCTTAGGGAGACCATACAGCACACAGCGTAACAGTGTCCAATAACTCCGTAAATTCACTCAAGGTGAATTTCTAGAAATAAAAATACCAAGTGAACGAAGCAGTTTGGTAAAAGTGGAACGGAGAAAGGAGATGGTATAAACGAGTAGCAGTGGTGATATGTGTCTGTGTGTCGAGTAGACGTGAAATAATTTTTCCAACCCAAGCAATTAAAAATGCGGTTTGTACGCAAATTGTGGTGTTAAAGGTTGGAGTACTGTACAGCCGGTGAAATAAATACGCTGTTGAGGGACGGCTTGTTGAGGGTGGGGTGAGCGGGCGGCGGGGAGGAGAGGGAAAAGGAAAATTAGTTCTGGGAGGCAGAGAAACATTGAGACATACTGATTGTGTCGCCTGTGCGTCGACTTTTCATTGGAGTTGTAACGACGCAGGAGGTGACTGACGTTGATATTTTTTTTCACTCTGCCAGTTATTTTGCTCGACAATTTAGTGCTCGTCGGTCCCTCGTTTCCCATTTTTTTCTCCTCCAATCCATCGCGACGAGTTTATATGGGCCTCGCTCGGGCAATTGTGACGCGAGGAACGTGGAGACATGACAACGTGATAGAAGGTGAGAATACAATGGATTTATCCTATTTTACCGGGCAGAGGGGACGGGGGGGAGATGAAGGAGAGATTGGATGTGCTTTTTTGGTTCAATTGGAATGATGATGGCAGTGAGGAAGGAGGACGCCTTTGGGCTTGCATTTTAATGAGCTTAATAAACCCTGGTACTCGATCGTTATATCATTCCCGCAGTGGCTCACTGGGAGATAAAAAAATATACATTGTGTTAAGCCAGTGTTTTTCGCCTCACAGAAGCCACTCTCTCTCTCTCTCTCCTTTTTTTTCCTTTATCTCGTCTCCCTTGGTGCTTTTATTCGACAATTTATCAATGACCCAAAGTTAGCCCGTTGCATTTAATCCAGGGAGAGGAAACTGTTTGGGGAATTAAGGGAAACGATTTCGGTGGGATTATGGGGCTGGATGTAAACAAGGCTATGGGCTATATTCCAATTGCGGGGGGGGGGGTGAATGTGTGTTTTAATCCGTTTGGCGGATACTGTTACATGCATGCGGGGGATAGAATTTACCGAATCCATCGTGCTCGCTCGCCCAGTGGGCACGATCGAACTTTTTCTGCACTTGGTCTTGTACCTTTCTATCCCTGGCTTTTTGCTCTTCGTGTTTGAACACGTGTGGACCTGTCAAAAGGGGGAATTGTACAGGGCGAATGGGGGAGGGAACGGGTGATGCAAGTGGCACGTTGATAAAAAGAATTTCATTCTCAATTTATTCGTCCTCGGAGTCGGGAAGAAATGAGTACATACGCTGGAATTGAAATTATTTGCTTGATTCACTCGACCAAGGACTTTCACCTGTTTTTTTTTATCGTCGTCAGTATGTTGGGGAATATTAGTCGAGTTATTGATGATGAGGCGAATTGACCGAGGTTTTTTCAGTGGATGATTCGATTTAGGGGGGTGAGAGGAAAGTAATTGGAGGGAGAAATGGGAGAGGAGAGCCGAGTGCTTTGGGGTTTTTTTTCTGCAGGCAAAGGCTTTTTTTCTTTTGTAGGCGAATACCGGAGCTTTCAGTTGAGCCCGGTTGACAAAAATTTCTAGATATTTTGCAATGATTTTTGTTATTTTTATGTTTTTGCTTCCGAATGGGGGGAGGATTGATGAAATTATTTAAAAATAGTATTTTTGAAAATTACGAGTATTTACTATCAATCATTTATGAACAATCAATTTCAATTATTTTTAAAGTTTAAACCATTTAAATGACGTTGCATATTCATGATTTTTTTCAAATTTTTCTGACGCAATTAATAAATTTGATGATTGAAAATGTGTGATCGGTACCAAACTGTAAAAGATACTTTGGCTATTTTTTCTATAGTCAAATGCCCCATTTTGACCTCAAGTTTTCAGGCATTTTACGATGATTTTATTATTTAAGCTCTGCAGGTCTGAATTTGAATGTCAATATTGAACCGTTCGAAAACAGTTTAACAATCTAAAAAAAATTAGAAATTTTACCTTTCGGAAAAGATTGATGAAAAAATTAAAAAATTGCAATTTTTGAAAATTACGAGCATTTTCTATGAATAATTCACAACCAACCAATTGTCCACCATAAAAATCACTTGTTCGGACTCGTAACAAATTTATTCATATTCAGAATTTTACCAGAAACCGATTTCATGCCTAAAAAAATAAGGTTTCCAAAACTGTAAACAATTTCAATTATTTATTCACAAACAACGAACGTTTAAAACAATAATAATCCCATGCAAAATGTCATTGGATGATTTGTTTTCCGTTTGTCTCACGCAATTTAATGAACAAATTTCATGATTGAAAATGGTTGAATAGTGCGACCTGTACCAAACGGCAAAAGATGCTTGGATATCCTCAAACGAGAAACATTACTTCCACATTATTTCGAAATATTTGTACCCTTTCGCAGCATCAGTTATTGATGACTATTTTCACAACATTTTGCCCTCACCTCACGCAAGAGGAGTTTATTCTCTGCATCTCTCAGTTCTCATTAAACTATCCGTAGAAGTACTCTAATGCGTAAAGACATTTTAACCAGCAATTGTAGTTGGCTCCCGCTGAGCGCAGCTTTATTAAATTAAGGAATTAATTCTCATGGGTAACGAGTTTTTCATTAGGATAATGGGGCACTGTCGCTCTAGCATCCACCGAGAAAATGCACTTCACAACGATTCGCCTGCGAGTTTTATCGTGACTTAATAACGTGTGAAGTTGTGGAGTTTTATCTCGAGGTTTAAGCCGCCAGCACAAGCCAAGTATTTTCGGGAGATTAAGCTAGTCTAGGGGTCATTAACTGTGATCATTCAATCGTGATAATGAATTTATGGAGTATCTATCGCTTTCTCATTTCCCCTCACTCATTTCAACCACTCAGCATTTATTTTCTTTTCCTTTCGTAACGAAAGCAATTTGATTCAACTATTTTTCACATTTCTTTTTAGACAGAGACAGAAATGTTTTCTGTACGTTTGGTGACTGCGGACAGCTATCAGGCACAACCGCTGCCTCAGCTGGATCCAACATTTTCCGTATTTCGTGGCACGGAAATTAAAAATGTACCCGTCATTAGGGTGTTCGGAACAACACCCACAGGTACATTTAATTTCATTACCCCAATAGCACTTAATTAACTGTTGAAAATCCATTGGCCGAGGGGACTTAATTAATACAATACCAATTACCTATTCCCAGGGGAAAAAACGTGTCTACACGTGCACGGTGTATTTCCATATTTGTACGTACCCTACACGGGTGAGGAGAATGAGGATAGGCTTGCATACAGGCTGGCAGCATCACTGGATGCAGCAATAAATATATCACTGGGCAGTGCCAATTCAACGACCCAGCATGTTTATCAAATTCAGAGGGTAGCTGGAATGTGAGTTTTATTATTCATTCCGTCCAAATTCAACCTGTTGACTGTATTTAAAAAAAAACTATCTGTAATCAACTAATCCCATATTTTAGACCGTTCTATGGCTATCATAAAAGGGAGCATCAGTTCTTTAAAATATCGTTCTACAATCCAGCTATCATGAAGAAAGCCGCTGATTTATTGCAAGTTAGTATTTGCACTATGGTTTTTTACTTCTCTCTCGAACGATGAAAAAGTTTCGACAATTAGCTGAAAAACTCAGCCAACTTTCTCCATTAATTTACCCGTTCTCTGCCTCTTTTTTCCCCCCAACAATGTTTTTTTTTCTCTCTGTTCATCAGACTGGGGCGGTGCTGGGTCAAAGTTTACAGCCGCACGAGGCCCACCTCAACTACACTCTTCAATTCATGATGGATTATAATTTGTACGGTATGAGCTTCATAAATCTATCAAGTGTTAAGCATCGTAGGGGAAATGAACCATCAGGGGATGTGATAACATCATATGACAGTGTAATTACACCGGTGGACAATGTCGAGTATCTTCCAGTTAATGTTTTACGCCAGAGTATCTGCGAACTAGAGATAGACGCTATTGCATCAGATATATTAAATAGGGAAGATTTGGCTAAGGGAATTGAGCTGAATCCGGGATTGTCGGCAATTTGGAATGAGGAGAGGGAGAGGAGGAGGCAAGTGGGTCTTGGGGGTGGTGATTCGCAGATTGTTAATCCAAAGAGCCCACAGAGGCCACCATTCCGTCCAACCGATAGTGATCTTTATCAAGAGCAAAGACTTGCGCGACGTCTCTTAATGATATCCCAGGTGAGTGAACTCTCTGAAATTATTCGGTGATGATTGGGGTACAGTGGGGGATGCGCTGGTGGTTCAGGGTGATTTAGGGGCGAGGAGGAATTATGATATTTCGGATTTCGCTGGAAATTCAATGAAATTGCTAGTTTTGAGCAGCAGGGAGACGAGAATTTACGCAACTTTTCTGAATTTTCAATTAAGACATGAATATTCAGTACCGAATCACGCTGAATTGTCAGTTAATTGGAAGTTGAAGAATATATTTAGCTGAATTTCTTGGATTTCTATTAATTTTCATGGAATTTTTTAACTGGAATTTAACGTTTTCATTGATTTTTTCGTAAAGTTTTGAGTTTACAATGAAGAAATTCCTTGAAACAGTGGAACTATAATGAGACGAATTTGATTAAATTTCAGGTTTCACTGAAAATTTTATGAAATTCCAATTTTTGAGCAGCAAGGAGACGAGAATTCACCAACTTATCTGAATTTTCATGAAATAATAAATAAAATTAAATTTTTAATATTAATTTTCATGGAATAATCGAACTGAAATTCAATATTACCATTAATTTCCCCATAACGATTTGTATTTACAATTAAAAAATTCCTTGAAATTCCAGTGTACCTATAATTAAAATGATTAAAATTCCCAAAAAGTCTGCCGGAAATTACATCCCCACATTGTCCACCATTGTGGGATTGAAATATCAGTTTACATTGGTTGTAGCATATCACTCTATTTTAAACTCACCCTAAAAACTCCGATACAACTCTGTTTTCAACTGAGTAAATTTCCCAATCCTCCATTCTCCATTTTCAGTTGTACCCAAAACTTCCCAACGAATTATCGAAAATTGTATTAGCATTGAAACTATTTTGTACATTTGCCCGAATAATTATTCACATTAATTTCATTCCAGTGCGATGAGAGCACCCTTTCAATGAGTACAAATCCAACTCCATATCCGGCTGAAGTTACACAGGGTGATGTTATATTAAATGCATCAAATTTTGGTAGTTTGAGTGTACCAACTTCTGATAAAACTCAACGGCCAAATGAAACTCTGAGTTTAAGCTCTCTAGGATCCACTCAGTCCTCCCAAACTTCCCACGAATGCAGTGTTTGTAAGTGTAATTTTACTCCCGCTTTAAACTTTCCCGAAAGAAAATTGAAAAACAAAAGGACAATTGTGAAACCGAAGCAGGCTCAATCCTAATTGTAATTGTTCTCTTTAATTCCAGTGGATTCTGATGATCTGCCATTAGTGGAATTACTGGAGAATTTGGCTCGTGATTCAGATACTAAAGACTCAGTGGACGAGGACAGCATGCTGGGCACACAGTTGTCTTCCCTGAATCCCGACGAGGAGAAGAGTGACGATGACAGTTGTACCAATGAGGACCTGAACCTCACGTGTCTGGAGTTGGACTCCTGGAGTTCCTGGGAGGGTGCGAGGAAGCCCTCGACCCTGAACTCCCCCCACAAGTCTTCACTAACAGACGACGACATGGACTCGACACTTCTGGGTGCCCTCCTGGCAGCAGGCATAGACTCAGACGCATCCCCAAAGACCCTAGAATCCTCAGTTCCCCAGCTGGACGGAGCTGGTGACTTCTGCTCAAGTCTCCTGGACTCCGAGGAGGAGGAGAACATGCAAATGGAGATGGAGAACACCTCCCAGCTGGCAAAAACGTCATCAGCCTGCAACCAGTCGACCACCAACTCGAGCCTGAGTCCCTCGACCTCCTCTTCATCCTCCGAAGGCACCAGCCAGAGCTCCTGGAGCCTCAAATACACACCAATAGACTACGAACACCTGCCCGACGACTTTGTCGACGACATCGAGAACATAATGCAGGAGAACATTCTCATGGAGATGAACTTCACGAGTGGTGAGGAGATCCTAGCAGGTGGTGGTCTAGTTGACGATGAAATACCCATTGAACGTGTCCTAAACGGCGATCCATGCTTCACTGAAACAGCTGAACTTGATAAATCCGATCTCACTGAACTCCACGACCAATACGTCAGCCTCCTCGACAGACAATTACTCCCCGAGATTTACGAAAACTCCCAGAATCTAGATCTCATCAATAACTCGGGATCTGAGGAGGCTGACAATTGTCAGGTTGGGAATGAAGCCAGTGGCTTTTCACCGAATGAATCTGTCACCCATAATTCCCAAGAACCTGTTGTTGAACATTGCAAACAAAATTCTGGAATTGATGTGAATGCTGTGGATGATAAAAGTGAACAAGTAAATAGACACATCAGTGACAGTTCTGATTACAATTGCAATGTGGCAACGTGGGAGGAGCTCCACGATTACCTGCCAAAGGGTATAATAAAACGAAAGTGCACGCAAAAAGTGAACAATCAAGTTGTTGAGAGGAGGAAGATTAAAGCAGCAAAGTGTGAAGTCTCTGGTTCTAATGATGTCTGTGAGCCCCCTGGGGAGACTGTTGAGGGAAATACATCGGGCTCATCAATAATTCAGGTCAATCAGGTGCGTGAGAATATCATGGACGTACGTGTTTTTCCTGGTGTTCAGTATTCATCGTATCTACTCGGTGAAAATGAAACACTTGTCACCCCCATTCTTGCTGATTTCGAAGAGTTGACTGAGCCATTGTCACCGCCAAATGATACGGACACAACGTCTGACTACTGTTCAGACAGATCGCACAGGGGTGTTATATTCGGTGAGGATCAGCACAGACACTGCGTTTATTCATTCAATCACAGGAAATTTGTCCAGGATTATGTGTTTACGTCCAATGAGATTTGGGTAATTGAGAAGCGTAAGAGGGGCAAAGCTGGGAGTGCAATTACATCGGAATTGTGTAACAGGGAGTGTAGACTGCCGTACGTACCATTGGAGAAAATTAACATTGAGGAGGGGAGCTGTAGCCAGGAGGATCAAAATATCGAGGCAGTTGAGAATGTGATTTTGAATTCAATTAGTTCAACTCTTGATAATTCCCCAAAAGAACCGGATTACGGTACAACTGGGGCTCTTTCAATTGACCTCGAGAGAGATACAAAAGAGGAGAGAAATACATTCACCCGAATTACGAGACAATCCGAACGTAATTTCGTTCAATCACAAAGTTCAACTGAGAGTGGCGATGGTCCGGTGATCATACGACGAGTCTTTGAGGAGAAAACCAGTGGTTCCACTTGTGTCAAGAAACGCAAGATTATTCTCAAAGTTGGTAGTAACACAGACTCGCAGTCTGATGACTCGAGAGTCGAGGATAGATCCAAAGTTCCATTGAAGACGAGGCGAAAAGTGAGAAGAGCCAAGACTAAAGTACCTGAGAGCCATTCAAATGTTGAAAATTCACCTCTATTATTTGATGAAAAAAATCCCTCAATTCCAGTGGCTACTTTACAATGCATCAAAGAGGCTTTCACTGAGAGTGAGCCCACAGAGGCAGCCAGCAGGCCTAGAATAATGTGCAGCATTAAAACAAAGAGAATTGGCATGAAGTGGCTGCTCTCAATGACCTCAAAATATCCCAGCAAAATAAGCAATCAAGTGGTGCAATCGAAATTATCAGCACCACAACCGCAAATTCGGAAAATGGAAACAATAACGCAGAGGTACAAACTGCGGGTACGTAGGGGTGAGCACGAGGGGAGATCGATAGTTCCAACGGTGAAAGATGAAAAAGTTGAGGGAACAAGTAGCCTCGTAACACCAGCGGTGGAGCTCAATAATTCACCGAAACTTGCTGGTGGTATTCAGGGTGAGGATGTTGCCATGGTACCGGAGAACGATGCTATTTCATCATCCTCGGGGGATAAAAATTCACAGTCTGAGGATGATACCACACCAGTGTACACAAATACTGTTGCCGAAGTGAATTTGTACTCGGGTAAGGATTACACGATTGATGCAGTCAGCCAGGAGATGCCGCAGGTACTATTTGCCGAGGACTCGAATCCATCCTTCAACGAGAGTACAATGAACATGATGAGTTTGAAGAGATCAGTGGATGAGATTGAGGCGATTCCAACGGCCGATCAATCCGATAATTCCAGTGTTAAATCATTCGAGGGGGATGAGTACAGTGATCACGAGAGTGGAATTTTATCAATGGTGGATGATTCGGGAAGTAATGGAACAGTGAATAACGACGTTGCTGGTGATTCTGGAAATTCACCGAGTTCATTCAGGGCACTTTTTATTAATGAATTGCAAAAGTCAAAGAGGTGTGAACGATGCGAGAGATGTGATTGTAATTCGTACATGAATATGTTAACTAAGAGTGGTGATACACCGAGAACGGGTGCACTCAGGAGTGAGAAGATCTATCTTCAGGAGGAAAAAATGAGTCTCGTTACAAAGTCCATTTACCGGCTTATCGGCGATGATGCCGATGTGAATACAAATGCTGGGAGGGAAATTGCTAGAGTTGAAAATCACTTTGATAGTGAGGATGATACCCTCAAAGATGTGTCTGATAAAAATCTTGATAGTGATTATACCGGTGAGGAGCGGCTGAGTTCAACTCCAAAATCATCGCCCAAGAAGATCTCCATATTGAGGAGAATATATTCATCTAATTCCGAGTCTTTGCATAATGATGAGGCGAGTGATTGTGAGGGAAAAATTGGGGAGAGGATGGAGACGGTGGTGGGTAATAGTGGAATATTGGGAGATGAAAAAATGCGGAATATTGGGGCTGGGGCGAGTGATACGGACAGTGCCGAGTTGGATTCAAATCTCTCTGTTGTGGATGAATATAAAACATTGGCTGAAGGTGATGCTGTTGATGCGGGGATTTTGAGTGAAGGGGTTGGGGGTGAGGAGAAGTGGTTGAAAAGTGGATCACAGGGACAGAGGGAGTCTTATCTGGAGGTTGTGCTTGAGGAGGATAATAATGTTGAATTGGTAATGGGTGATGGGGATGAGGGTAATTCAGAGAAGACACTGTCGTGTACTGAGACTAGAGCTCGGGCGAGATTTAATGGTGAGTGTGGAGGTGACAGTAAAACCACTTCTACTGCAGTACTCTTGGCAGATTACAATTACAAATCTGGGGAAGGTACAAATGGAGATATTGTTGGTGACGCAGCTGAGGGAAGTTCGTTGGGGATAAAAAGCGGTGGATTTTCGGATGATGAGGAAATTGTTCCTAATTCGGTATCGATTGAGGATGATCGATACAAACAACGTTTGGCAATAAGTCAGAGGAAGATATTGGAAGAAATGCCAGAGCGGAATAGGGCCATTGTGGCTATTCGTTCGAGTGAATTGATTGATATCGATGAAAATACGAGGGATACATTTATCCTAGATACGGGAAATGATGGGATTGAAACGTGCTTACAGAGTTGTGTACGTAGCGCTGAGGAATTATCAATTGCTGACACAATTATCATGGAACCAAGTCCAGACAACAGTCGCGACAATAACGATAAACCTTTGCTGGACGATGGGAGTATGGTTGATGAGCGTTCGTGTGTAATGGAAGACAAACAATTGTCTGAAGATGCAATCACTGGGGATTTCAATGGAAGTGGAAACTCGGTCTCTGGCGTTGATAAAAATTCAACAGATGCTAAATCAATAGATGAAAACGGAGAGGAAGTTGGTGTGGAGAATGGGGGAATTGGTTCAGATGAAATTACGGTGGTCGAGGAAAATGCTGGGTCGGGAAATTTCTCGGGTAAAAATACGGGGAGTGATGGGGAGTTTTCGGAATTACGTTGCGAGACGGTTGATTATATCGAGGAAATTGTCATAATTGAGGAGATTGGAGAATGTGGGAGGATGACGAGAGATGATGATGACCTCGCTGAGGGTCATTCAACTGGGGTAATAGGGGGGGAGGAGGAGGGGCAGAGGGAGAAAGTGGTGGTCGATGATAATGACGCATCTGAAGTTTTCCCGGACATTGAAAGGGCTGGGGAAGTGAGCCTTGAGGTCAATGACAGACGTGAGAATCATTCAATTGATGATAAGTCCCCTGAGGATCGCCCAACTCTCGAAGAAAATGCAGAAGTGTTTGAAGAACCGCAAGAGCCTCAACGGGGTGCAAAGATGGCTAATGATGATGATGATGATGATGATGATGACTTCTGTGAAGTGCTGCCAACACCTGAAGAACAACTCAATGAGAACACCTCGACAGTTGTCATAGAAGTAGTTGGAGATGTGACTCCCATCGCCGCCCCTGAAGTTCATTCAACCACTGAAGCCCCAGCAACCGAAGATTCACCATCTCCACAGAGAATAACCGAGGAAACCCGTCAGGTGAGCGACTCCCTGGATGACAGCGAGGAGATTGAATTTTTGAGCTCCCCCGAGCCCTCCGAGGACGAAACAATAAACGTCATTATAAACAATCTTGATCACGACGAGGAAGTTGAAGAAGTCAGTTCATCAGCCTCTAACGAAATAATCCCAGTGCCAGAGTGCCAGAGTCTAAATGACGTGACTGTGTCAACAAACCCACCAGAGCCAACTGAGGACGTGATTCCCCTCATAAATCGAATAAAACACTCCCCAGAAACTTTGACTAATCAATTTATCACTCTCCCGCCTGATTTACCAACAACAGAAGTGCCAGTATCTCCCACTAAGTGCCCCAGGTTATTCGTTAAATTGGAACGCCTTAACCCAGATCTCGTCACCAAGTACCTGAAGTCCAATTCCAAGAGATCAAACGAGGAAACTGTGAAAATGAGAATTCAAAAAAGAGTGACATTTTCACCTGTGACATCCTACTTCGGCAGTAACGAAACAAAACCCCTGAAAAATAGTTCTGAAGATGGCCAAACTACAAACTCTGAAATAACATCAAACACCGATGGATCAGCCTCTCAAAACTCCAGTAATGAGGCACCACTGAAACTTACTCGATCAAGAGCCGACACGAAGTACCCAGGAAAGTGTCCATTGGCTCCATCAGCGAGAAAAACCCCCAAAGGTCTCGAGGAGGACGAGCCAAAGAGCCACAAGCGTCTAAAATTATCAGACGAACCTCAGGAGTCCCATGAGCCCAACGAAAGCCAAACGAGTGAACTTTCAGAGGACGTCCCAGAGATAGTTTACGACTCGACGAGTGCAGTCGACTCAGAGAAGAATAAACAGCTCAATCTTGTGCAGAGAATCCTGCAGGAAACTCTCCTCGAGGAGAAACTGCCTGAGGAGAGCAATGTTGAGGTGGAGATATTTGAAGATCCACCAGTTGCCCCAGAAATTCATCGATCCATTCCTGAAAAAATTCCTGAGCCAACTCCTGAGGCAGAGTCATCAGTCTCGCCACCAGCATCGCACATTCCCAGGCTGGAGTTCACCAGATTAAGCAAGATGCCCTCAAAGAGGCCTCGCTCCCCCTTGTCGTCGAGTCCCTCAGCAGTCTCGATAGTCTCATCCCAGTCACTGGAGAGTTCCATCCTCAACGACTTCCACCCCACTCACGCCGATCGTTACGTAAACACCTACGTGATCCAGTCAGCCTACAGAACAAAGTACCACACAGTGAGTGTTGACAAACGCCTAGCCCTCACCCAGATAACAACGAAAGACTCTAAGCTACGAGTGCGAACGAGTAAAGAGAGATTCCTCGTTCAACTCGGCTTGTACCCATTGAATCCAGATCTCGAGGAGAATTGGGTGAAGGAGAAGAGCCACGTGTCCTACATTCAGCGTCAGCAGCCAAAGGTGTTGTTGCATCGATTGAATGCACCCACCCTGAAGCGTTACGGATACAATCATCGCTTCAAGTCCAACAGATTTGGCAAACGTTTTCTCAATACGAGTGACTTCAAAATACCAGCGTACGATGGGCCAGCTGATCTCACCTCCAGTGAGTCTGACACTAGTGACAATGAAGGTGACATTACCGTGGGGGACAGGGAGAAACGAGTTTGCACGTACAGATCAGTGAGAAATAAAGAGATACTGGCAACACCCAAGAAGCGCAAACATCCTGATACCTCTGGGGATGGCTCACCAGTAGCTGCTAAATGCCTTCGTTCAACGCCAAAGCGAACACCAAGCAGGCCAAGTATGTTGAAGAGCCCTGGTCGTTTATCAGGGAATTATACCCCTCTTAAAATAATTGTCACGTCTCCCAAGGTACGTAGAGAGGCTCCTGATACCACTGAACTGTTGAAAATTGATGCTGATGGTGCTGCTAACAGTTCGGGCTATTGTGTCACACCAAGGAGGGGAGAACACCGATTGCATGAGAATTTACTTCGTGGTAGGATCTCCCAAGCAACGCCTATCCAAAGATCAGGTAAAATATCGTCGTAACGATAATTGTTATGTCGTTGATTTAAAGAAAAGCAAAATGAAAAAAAAAAGTTGCAAGTGAAAGAGAGAGAGAGAAAAAAAACGAGTTTTGTTTGATTTTATTTAGGAAGTGATCGTAAGCTGGAACTTACTAGTATCGAGAAATCATCTCGGTGAGTTTAGTGGGACAATTGAGTCTCATGAATTTAATATGTTTAAGTAACAAAATGATCAGAGAGGATTGGATTGTTTATTTATGTTTAAATTCCTGCGACTCTGCAGAGATGATACTTCAGGAATTGTCAGGAGAGCGAGGGAAAATAATAGTGTGGAAACTGAGCGAGAGACGTTATCAGACATTGGTGAGGATGTATCCAAAGAGATGAACGTTCGCAAGAATCTTTTTACTGTGTACGAGTCAACACAATTACATGATATGAATTTTTCACCAAAGCCAAGTACATCTGGAAACGTAGAAATTCATGGTGAGGATATTGTGAGAGGGGACGAAGAGGAACGAGAAACCACTGAAAGGGAGAATTTATTATTTGATGAGGAAGAGGATGACTTTAGGTTAAAATATTCAACGTTGGACGAGACAATGCTGGGGGGGAATGAAGGAGAAAGAGCAATGCAAACTGAATACGAAGTGGAGGACAATCTGTGGAACATGACATTCACTCAGTACATATGCTCGCAGCAAGTGAAGACCACAGGCTCATCGTCAGAGAGGAGTTGCTCCCAGGCCCTGGGGGATGCCAGGAAATCGATAAAAATAATTCCACGTTACAATGCACCTTCGGTGGAGAGAGTCAGAGGTACGATGGCCACCTATGGTATTCCAACGTGCAGAAATCCCCAGGCATTCTTCAGCAAGCAGGCAGATGCACCTGGACAGAAAGAACTGGCCCACCGAGTGCTCAAGGTCCCTGGGAAGGGCCTGGTGGACGTTGCTCCCTTCAAATCATCGATGGAGGGGATCACGGGTCTCAATCGCTGGAGGAGAATGAAGATTAACGAGTTCCACCCTTCCAAAGGTAAAATCCAGGCTTCGAGCATTCGCCAGAGCCTCGCTGGTCATCGGTCAATAGTAATCACACCCTTATTGCCCCCACCCTCGCTGAAAATCGTGAAAACGTGGATCAAAGCACGAGGGTATTTAAAACGACAGAGGGACGAGGAGAGGAGACGCAGGGAGGAAGAGAAAAATCAACAGACAGAGCAGATAAATAAAGAACTTGAAACAAACACGGAGAGTCAAAACAAAAATAAACCTGTCAATGCTGCTGAGTCTGATGAGAACACTTCAGACTCATCGGACTCAAGTATCGTCGGTCCCTCGCCCGAGAAAATCATTCATTCAAACTCATTAAGACTACTCGGTCGAACTCCGCGAAATTCACAAGTAGAAAGAACTTTGCTCACTTCAACGTCGAGAACTTGTCGGTTAATGGCTTCAATGGAGGAAGAGCCATCGATGGATTCCGAAAAATCATCGAGCAAATCCCTGAACCCATCCGTAATGAGTATGCTTGAGAAATCAAAGCTATTTAAAACCCAGACCTCCAAACACCCTGGAATTTCCTGCGGTCAAATTGAATGTGTATCAGACTCAACGAGGAGTGACGTGGAGAATGAGAACATGCAGAATGCTAAAGCAGTAACAACGTATCAGTACATAACACTCATGTGTGTCGAAGTGCACGTGACAACACGGGGGGATTTACTTCCAGATCCTGATCACGATCCAGTGTCAGCAATTTTCTACGCAATTCAGTGCGACGTACCACCAGAATCGCCGATGAAATCACTGGCCCATGGAGTGATTGCAGTTGCTCCAGAGGGCTCCACTAAAATGGGCTATACCTATGGCACTGAGGTACCTCTTGACATTACTCTTGTCCCTGATGAATCGTCTTTATTCGAGGCATTTGTCAAACTCGTCATTGAGAGAGATCCGGAAGTTTTCATTGGCTGGGAACTTGAGGCACTCTCCTGGGGCTATATCTTTCAGCGTGCTACAACGTTCGGTGTTAATTTGAATAAAAGAATATCGAGGATACCCGGGATTCAGTGCAAATGGGAGACAACGACCCCCGACTTGGATGCACTGGGAGAAATTAAGTTGCCAGGACGAGTGGTACTTGATATCTGGCGAATAATGAGACACGAAATGGCTCTGTTAAATTATTCATTCGAGAATGTCATGTATCACGTGATGAATGAACGAATATCATGTCCAGGGTTTAGAACGCTGACCGAGTGGTGGAATAGAGATGATTTTAGCGGTCGTTGGAGGGTTGTTGAGCACTATGGGGTGAGGGTACTTGGGGTTTTGAGGATTTTGGAGCAATTGGATATCATTGGCCGGACCAGTGAGCACGCGAGACTCTTTGGCATTCAGTTTTATGAGGTTTTTACGAGGGGCAGTCAGTTCAGGGTGGAGTCCATTATGCTGAGGCTTGCTAAACCGCTGAATTATATTCCTGTTTCACCATCCCCACAGCAGAGAGCTGCCATGAGGGCTATGGAGGCATTGCCACTTATCATGGAGCCGGAATCGATTTTCTACAGTGATCCTGTCATTGTTCTAGACTTTCAGAGCTTGTATCCGAGCATTATCATTGCTCATAATTACTGTTTCTCCACTTGTCTTGGGAGAATTGAACGCATTGGGCAACAGTGTCCCTTTGAATTTGGTGCATCTGTTCTCAGAGTGACGAAAAATACGGCTTTGAAACTCCAGGGAAAAGTTAACTTTGCACCTTGTGGTGTTGCTTTTGTTAAGCCGGAAGTTAGAGTTGGGATTTTGTCGAGAATGCTGACGGAAATACTGGAGACGAGATTTATGGTGAAGAAAGCTATGAAGGATCATGATAAGAATGATAAGACACTGCAGAGGGTACTGCATTCACGGCAACTTGGGCTCAAGTTTCTTGCGAACGTTACTTATGGATACACTGCTGCTAATTTCACGGGACGAATGCCTTGTATGGAGGTAAATATCAGATGTTGGGGTTATGTGGAGAAAAAATGAACGGAAAATTGTAAAAGAATTTTGGGAGAAATCGGTTGCATTTTTCCACAAAAAACGGAGAAATTTTACTATTCTTTTGGGGAAAATTACGCGTCAAAGGGGTAACGGTTTCCTTTGCCTCAAATTTTTCATCTGATTTCAAATGGAAATTCTAGAAATACAACTTCACTTTGTTGAAAATTTTGGTCGGAATTTTCAGTAAACTTTTTGAAAATTTTTATCATATTGCAATTCTAGTGAAAGTTTGAGGAAATTCTCTATTGGAAATTGAAAATTTTATTGAAAAACCAAGAGAAAATGGAAATTTTAGTTTAATTAATTGGTAAAAATGGTTGGAAATTAGGAAAATTTAGGTGAATATGTTCTTGAATTTTCAGGGAAAAGGGAATTTCGGTAAATTGGAAAATTGATGTACGAAAAAAATTCATAAACAAATTCAACGATCTTCCTAGAAAATTCTGTTGGATTTCTACTAAACTTTCTATCAATTTGGTCTGTAGCTTATCTGTGCGGTTTTAAAAATAAAGTTCAATAGAAAATATTCTGTACAAAAAATCAAGAGAAGTCAATTTTTCTGTACAATTTACTCTATTGAGGTATTTTCTATAAGAATTCCTTGGCTCTAGTTTTTTAAATTTCTTTGTCTGTTCTTTTAATGAAAGAAAATTAATGTTGAGAAATTTCTATAGCAAATGAAATAGAACAATTTGTCTAGCACGATTGAAATTATTTTTTTCTTTAAATAGTGCCTTTTTAACATTTTTTATTTAAAAAAATGTGTAATAAAGCTGCGGAATTTTCCAATAGAATAGACCAAAAATTAATAGAATTTTCGATAAAAGTTTAATAAAAATCGATTTCGAATTCCCTGGGTTTCTCTATCAATTTTTTCGTGTGTCTCGTCATGCGGCTACTAAAAAAATTAGAACTTCAATAAATTTTCAGTGATTTTTAAACTTTTACGATTTTTTCCTCCTCAAATCTCATTCAATGTCACTCTACTGAAAATTACTAGTCAACTATTCAATTTTTTTTTCGAACAGAGTACAATAACTTTCCGTGATGTTTTTCTCCATGTTTTATGCAAGGATGCAAAAGTTTTTTGCAATTAAAAATGGATAAATATTGATGGGATTTTTTCAGGTCGGTGACAGTGTTGTTAGCAAAGCCAAAGAGACGCTCGAACGTGCAATAAAACTCGTGGAGTCAACGACCAAGTGGGGGGCGAGGGTGGTTTATGGAGATACTGATTCACTTTTCATTCTGGCGCCGGGAAAGTCCAAGGATGAGGCCTTCAAAATTGGGTATGAAATGGCAGAAGCTGTTACTGCGGATAATCCATCGCCTATTAAGCTGAAGTTCGAGAAAGTTTTGTTTCCTACTATTCTCCAGGTAGGAACGAGTTACTTTCCCTCATTATCATACTTGAAATACCGTGAGGAGAGTGACACAACGCTTTTGGCAAGGAAGAAACATTGATTAGAACGTTCGTTAAGATGTGCTCATCAACTAATTGAAAAGTTCTGTAAACTGTGAGGAGACGATGTCGACATTTTTATTGAGGATATCCGAGTACTTGAGCTACTTTTTTTTGTTGAGATACTTTTTAGTGTTTGTATTTGGACATTAGAGCGTCTGAGTAAATTTTTTTACGAAATTTTCATTATTTATTAGAGAAAGTTGGAAAATATTTTTAAAATAAAAAAAATTGAAAGTTGACTCTTGAGAAAAATTGATAAAAAAATCTGAAATCGCTCTTTGTCAAGAGAATTAATGTTTCACAACTTCACAATTGAGTTCATTCGCTCAAGGCCTGTCACATTGCCACTCTAATTCGACAAAAAAATGAGAACAATTAGTCAAACTCTATTATGAAGGTCTGAAAAATGATGAGTTGATTAATTAGTCAAAAGTTGTAACCCAGTCTGATTGCCATAACTCAATTCGACATTATTATTGTCCACATGCATTTTTGACATTTCCCCTTGAATTTATTTTTCAAGACATAAAATTTTTGAATTTCACTCAAACGAACTTTTCCATGATTTTTTAAATCTAGACATGGACATTTAATCTAAATACCCCTTTTCTCTATTTCAATGAGAAATGAAAAAACTGGTTATGACATCATACAGATGATTCCTCAATTGACTATAACATCTTGCACATATTTCTTCACTTGGCTGTAAGTTCTAGATTGTGGGTCATTAATAAGAAACATCCATCAATTTAAACCAACATTCCTATTTCATCCCTTTATCCAATAAAAAACCATCAAGCAAAGGCCATTCCTTTTATCCAATAAAAAATATCAAGTAAAAGTCCGTTCCTGTTTTAATTTGACAAAATTCTCACTGCACCCCATTTTCTCATAAAATTTTTCTTCAAGACTTTTTTATCTGGATATGAAAATAGAATAAAAAGTACATTTTTCCCTATTTTGATAAACATAATGCAGATGTTTCTTCAATTGACTGTAACTTCTTAATTGCTTCTCTTTTTAAAAAATAGTATTTTTTCCAATAAAAAAATATCGAGCAAACTCCCATTCCTGTTTTTAACTCCACAAAATTTCCATCTACCCCAGATCTCCCTAAAACTACTCTTCTAGATACGAAAATTGAACCAAAAATACAATTTTCCCCATTTCGAGAAACAACGACAAATTGATTATGACATCATGCAGATGTTTCTTCAATTGACTTTGCCATCTTAATTACTCCTCATTAAACAAAAACATCCATTATTTTTCACTCAACACTCGCATTTCCCCTTTTATAAAAAAAATCAAGCAGAAGCCATTGTTCACTTCGCCTCCCCAAACTTCTCATTCCACCCAATTTCCCCCTTTCCAGACGAAAAAGCGTTACTGCGGTTACATGTACGAGTCCCCGGACCAAGAGAAGCCCACGTTCCTGGCCAAAGGCATCGAGACAGTTCGTCGAGACGGTTGCCCAGCCGTCTCCAAGATCCTCGAGAAATCCCTAAAAATCCTCTTCGACACTAAAGACGTCTCCCAAGTGAAGCAGTACGTGGTCCGCCAGCTGGACAAGGTTCTCCGTGGCAAGGTGTCCCTCCAGGACCTGACATTCGCCAAGGAATTTCGAGGTTTGCGTGGCTACAGAGAGCGAGCCTGCGTTCCAGCCCTGGAGTTGACCCGTCGCCTGATGAAAAAAGATCCCCGAGCATTGCCAAGGCACAACGAGCGAGTTAAGTACGTGATTGTAGCTGGTGCACCCAATCAGGCGCTTATTCACTGCGTCAGATCTCCCTGGGAGGTGCTAAACGATCCTGGCCTGCGGCCCAACGCCGTCTATTACATAACTCGTGTAATAATTCCACCACTCAATCGTTGTTTGAACCTAATGGGAGTTGACGTTAACACTTGGTACAGAGAAATGCCACACAGACATATTTTAGACAATCCCATTGCTGTACCGAGTGATAAACAGAAACAAACAATTTTCCAATATTTCGGTAATATCGTTTGCGCTGCGTGTGGGCAGACTAGCAACAAGGCTTTATGCTCTGATTGTCAATCAAGGCCATCTGATACTCTTGTAATGCTTAATGAAAAATTGAGATGGCTGGAGAGGGTCTGTGAACAAGTCACGAGTATCTGTCAGTCCTGCACAGGGCGTGGCGATACTCCTGAATGTGTCTCGTTGGACTGCCCAGTTCTCTATCGTCGTGCTCAGGCACAGAGAGAATTAACACAGGGAGCTCAATTGGAGAAAATAATTAAAGACCAACATATTGATTTTTAAACCAACTCCATTTATTACGTAACTCGTGTAACAATTCCACCACTCAATCTTTGTTTAAGCTTTATGGGGGTAGATGTCAACACTTGGTACAGAGTGATGCTACACAGACATATTTTAGACAATCCCATTGCTGTACCGAGTGATAAACAGAAACAAACAATTTTCCAATATTTCGGTAATATCGTTTGCGCTGTGTGTGGGCAGACTAGCAACAAGGCTTTATGCTCTGATTGTCAGTCAAGGCCATCTGATACTCTTGTAATGCTTAATTAAAAATTGAGATGGCTGGAAAGGGTCTGTGAATAAGTCACGAGTATCTGACAGTCCTGCACTGGGCGTGGCGATACTCCTGAATGTGTCTCGTTGGACTGCCCAGTTCTCTATCGTCGTGCTCAGGCACAGAGAGAATTAACACAGGGAGCTCAATTGGAGAAAATAATCAAAGAACAACATAATGATTTTTAAATGAATTTCGTGATAGTTTATTTTAGGCTTCCAAAAATCAGGGGTAATGAGAGTCTATTTGGAATGATCTTGAAGTATTTTTCAAGCTCCTTGCATTCCTCACTATTTTCTATGATGCAAAAAATAAACCTATTGTTTGATGAATTTAATTATTCAATGGTGGTGAGCGAAAAGTGTCTTGCGAATTGATAAATTGGCATTGATAATGTTTTTACAATGGTACAATACAAAGTTATTTTCTAATACCAAAATTTTTATACTGAATAATGGGGGCTTGTAAAAGTGATAATGCGTATATTTTTCATAGTGTAATGTTCAATTTTCTTTTTTTTTCGGGAATATCTTCCGTAGTTTCTACTACAAATGCTCTTTGCTCATCAGTAAACCAGAATAGGTTTATTCATTGTTTTAAGTATTTTTTGAATTAATTCCACCAAAGGTTTTTGAGAATTGCATCACTCGAGCTCATTCTTATTGGAGACCAAAACGATAGCATTTGTGGATCTCACTCGACATGATTGATTGCACATTGTCATCGAGTCATTGCTCCCCAATAATTTCGAATCGCACATGGACATAATCAATAGTAAAATTTGTGGAAGACTTAGAGTCTCCAGGTTAGTGTAAAATTAATGGAGAATTCGTCTGATGACCTCAGTACGCTTAGTAAATCGATTTAATTTCATTAGATGATAATTGAGAGGCTGCAATACGTCTCGAAGTGCCATTGTTCCTCATTATTAATCTCATGGAGAATACTTACCGAATTAAAGTTTATCATAAAGTATATTATTGATGGAAAAAAAGACATTGAAACGATTACAAAAATGAAAACTTATCAGATATCAAAGGGAATTCGTATGCCGCCGGCGGTATGTGATGTAGCATTTGCACCTGATCAAATTAATCGTAAGGGAAGTAACTTAAAAATTTCTGGCCGGTTAATTGAATTTAAAATACATTTCGAGGGATTTTTAATTCGGTAAAATGTACTAACTCCAGCGATTATACGTTTATCGTAAAAGTGACGTTTTTTGGGACATTGAGATGAATATATTTGTACAAAAAAAATGTGCAGAGGGAAATTGTAAAGTATTGTAAGCAAATTAACGGTTGAGTTTTGTCCCTTGAGGGGAGACTCTTATCCGTTTTCGACATCACGGAGCAGATGATTGAATGCAAGACTTGAGAATTATTACTGTAAAATTATGAAATCGAAGATGTAATACTATTCTTTGGGTTTCCCCAGGTTTTTGGAAATTTATCGAACGAATATGGACCATATTTTTAATATTCAATTTCTTAATGCAAAATTTCTCATGAATTGAAGTCTGAATACTAAAAATGTAGCTTGTAAATGTTATTCGATACATTTCTATAAAATTCGAGAGGAATAGGGTCAGAACTTTCTTTTCGGTTTTATAATTTACAAAGATTTTGTCATTTTTACTTTTCTTCTCTTTTTCACACACAGCAAATGAGGAACATATCCTTAAACAATTCGAAATTAATTGTTGCATCAAATACTTTTATCTAAAGAGACACTGGAATATGAAAATTGGATGAAAAATACTGCATACCTATTTTTTAATTCTAAAAAATGATGAAAAGTCAAGAAGTTGAAGACTTATTGCTTTTTCATTATTCGTCGAAATAAGAAAGAAAAAAATTTCTCATCGCATCTTCACACTCCACAATGAACAAAATCATGCAATAGTCCGTGGCCTCGAGAATATACAAGAGTTTCTCTTCACAAAGATATGTAAAACCACTCACTAATTGGAGGAGCTCGTATAAGTGATTAACAACGAAAGAGTATTCATTCATTGCGTTGTATGTATTACGTGAGTTTATCGTTGTTAACCAATTTGATTGATGAGTAAAAGGAAGCGATATAAATACGCATAAATAAATGGCGCGTGTGTGATATAGATAAATGTGGATTAGGGAAGGGCATTTAAAATGTAAACAATATCCCCCCCCCCCATGTATATATTTTATTCATTTTTTCGTACAAATGAAAGACTGCTAACGTAACTTCTCTACGCCACATCCTAAAACGCGTAACGATAAGTTAATAAATTGAATGAGATGATTATTCTAAAGGCAAATAGTTAGTTTAGTTTATTGATGATGCAGGAAAGGAATATTAATGATAACACAGTCGTTGTTGAGGTGGGGCATTGTTTTCGCATTATTTTCCTCCCAGTTCCTGAAGGCTCGTTGTTCTGAGTTTTTATTTTTGTACTTAAGTTGTTTCTGTGAGAATGCCCGTGCGGCATTATGTGTCACAATCTGTCAATTTTTTTTTCTCCTTCGTTTTTACATTTCAAATATTTTTTGAATTATCAAACTTATTGGTGAAAATACCCTAAATTACTCCATTGGATTTATGATTGATAGAAGAAAATGCCTTTTCTGATGACTGTGATACATGGTCTCATTTGAGTTATTATATCGTTTTTCCACCTTTGTAGTATAATTAATAAAAAATGTAACTCTTGAGTAAAAATGTGTTCTTTATTTCTACCCTGGAATGCTGGTTGAGAAATGAACGTGAATTATTGGGGAGAAGGCGGGATTGCGTTTAGCTTGGTAATGGATGGTGACAGGGAAAATTGCCAGCTATTTTTTTAGGTGCATTGGTGAAAAATTAGGGATATTTAGGGCTAATGCAGGTAGTTCAGCCCTTTTTTAGTGAAATACTTGCTAACATCTGGAGTTGAATGGAAGCCACATTTGACCCTAATTTGTGATTATGACGTTATTTGAAGTTTAAAGGTGGAATAGATTTTCCATTTCGATTTTTTAACTGATACATTTTGAACAGCTGGACAAAATTTACGAAAATTTTAATGATAAATGAAAATTTTTGGAGGAAATTGACCACAAAGTGATGGATTTTTCAAATTTCACAAAAAATGGTGTTCATGGCAAAAAAATGAGTTTTCTAAAAGTTTATAGAATTTTCATTATGTTTTTACAGGACGAGAATGTTAAGGAAGAAGTCATTTTTTGAAAGATGGAAATAATTGACAAATGCGTTGTAGTTTGTCCCACTGTGACGTTACGTTGAAAATTCAGTAAAATTAAACTTTCCACATGCGTCGAATGTAATAGCTTCACTTTTGAAGTTCATCAGGGAAATTGAATTTTGCGTCTATTTAAATCGGAAATAAATTGGAAATTAAAAGCCCTGGACGCCTGGCTGTTCATAATTTTCCATCAGAATATCAATTTGAATTTTAAATCTTTATTGATAATTTTTTCCAGAAGATTTTCGATAATAAAATTTGCAATTTCCTCTCTGTTAGATGAATTTTCCCTTCAAAAACGCTCTTTGAAAATCTGTGGTAAATTGGTAAAATAGGATAACTGCATTTTTTCGAAAATGCGATTTGGCGAAACTAAAACTTTTTGAAAAAAATTTACTCACCCTAGTTTATCAATTCATGGCAAAAATTTTAAGTTTTTATTCTACTTTTTTAAAATTCTAAAATCATAATTTCTGTGGATTCCAGCACTATGAAAACTGAATGACATTTAAACAATATTATATTATATATTATTATTATTAGGAGTATTTTATGGGATGTCTTGGAGTAACACACGCGCTAAAGATAAACATTGGATATATGCAATGATTTACATTTCTGTCGTGAATTAATAAAAGAGAATGAGTACATTATTTCGAATAAAAATTTTTTTGCCAAAACAAAATTAATGTAAAGTAAAAATGAAAAAAATTAAAATTACGTTGGAAAAATAATACACACAGACCTTGAAATCCTAAAATATCTAGTTAACAGTCCAGTTACCCAGGAATGATAAATAAATCCACAGACGTACATTTATACACTCAATTCTTTATTCATCGTGTTCAATCAATTTTTCCATATGCGACATCAGATAAAAGTGCACTTTCCATCTCTCTGAATCCAATAAACATTCATATAGGAACATCAATAAACTCTAGACAGGTTTGGGTGCGGTTTGTTGATGTGCGAGAAAAAATCCCCAATTCAGTCTTGATATTCCCCAGTATTCCCCGAAAAAATCGATTAGAAAAATATTGCTAGGCTATTTCAACGCTATTTTCACTGCCAACAAAAGCCCCAATGATCCTTAAAATCAACAATACCCCGATTAATCCTCAACGAGCCCCAAGAGCCTTTAATCACCATCAGAATTTGCATTTCCGCACCCATTACGAATATTGGAAGAGTGATATTTGATTCAGGTATCGACATTTGAAGCAGCAGGTCACACAAACGTACCGAATAGACAATGCAAACATTTACGTACATTGGTCGTTAACTAGATTGTATCCATCCATCTATACTAATGAACCAAACCGCAAACTTGCCTCAGTGACATTAATTACGAAGTCGCAATGAACAATCAAATTATTCGAATCAAAGGGCGATCAAATGAATCGCACGAACGAATACCTAAACATTTCCATCAACCATTGATCTGATAATTGCACATCGATGATGCACTGTTAGAAATTTGTTGAAATTTCATGGAAAATATGATAGTAATTGTCATGAGAGTGACATTAAATGAGATTTAGGGGATATGTAGTTATGAAATTCCAAGTTGTAGGTAAAATTCATGGAATTCCTGAATTTTCAGGAACAAAATGACATGAATTTTAAATTTTCCCTGAATTTCCCTAATTTTTATGAATTTTCACGGAATAATTCACCTGAAAAATCAGTTATTTCATTGATTTTCAGCTCATTCGAACCGAAAATCAATGGAATATCATTTCTCAATACAAGATTCCCTGAAATTTCACAAGAAATTAAACACGAAAATTTTTAACAGTGTGATTGAACAATTTGCTAATGAAACATTGATAAATTGACTCGAGACAAAATAAATACATACTCAATAAAATGAATAATCATTCTTCATCACAATGAACTTCTAAAATGATTAAATCGATATTAGACATTTTGGCAACGACAATATATCCTTAACCCTAGGACGACCCTCCAGGATGCGATGAAGTCCACCCACGCTATCAAAGCCCTCAGGTAAATCGCAGAGCACGAGCATCTGATAGCAGACGAACCCTGAGTCTTCGTTAGAGAACGATGCAGGAGCTCTTCTCCCTGAAGGGATTGGACTTCTGTGACGAGAACCCAACGAGCAGGCAGTCCTCCTGCTCATGCTCAGTGATGTACTTCATGATGTCCTCCACAGCCTTGCTGACGGTGATGCGCTTGATAGCGGCCTCACGCCTCAGCTGCTCGGTCACTTGACGCTGTTGTTGCAAATTTGTGATCACCATGTCCATAACCGCTGTGTCTGACAGACCTATTTTGCGGGCGTGGCCTTAACACTTGAACAGGAAACACACAGCCCTACTGGGGCTTCAACGAGAATTATTCACAGGCACTGAGTTATGCGGTTTTGGAGCACAAAACTCTGGGTTTTGCACTTGTACTCGACTCGAGATTCAATTCAACTCAGGAAACACTTGAAGGAAACACTTTTGGTGGAGCTATTTTTACTCTGGTGATGCAGAATGTTCTTGACGTATCGTGATGAGTCTATTCGAGGGTGGATTGGGTGGAATGCTCCGAAAAACAAACGGATGATTGTAGAATGGAGTTGGGGGGATTCCGGTGTGAAGTTGGCTTTCTGTGGGGACTCGCCTTTACGCTGGGACGGACTCGTGGACGGCTCACTTCGGGGTACTCTGTTCGAGTGATTTTGGACTCGACACATGTGACAGTGGTTAATTATTATTAAAAAATGGCTTTACACGTACCGAAAGCACCCGGCATGGCCTCGATGATGAAGGAGGGATCGCGGGTGAGTATTTTGGATGGTAATTCGGGGGTTTCTTGGAGGTTCGGGGGCCTTGGGGGTTATTGGGGCCGGTTGGAATCAACGCGCTGGGCATGAACGTCATGTCTATATATTGCCTTTTATGGGCAACATGAAGACTCATGATCGTAAGGAAATTGAAGGTGCTTTTGGGGGTTTTTCGTCGGGGATTATTCGGGGGGGTTTGGGGTAGACGAGATTATTTGGTGCACGTGACAGTTATGGGGTTTTGATTATTGGAGATAATTATTGTTGGGGAGGAATGGGTTTACATGGTCTTGGAGCACCGGGCGTCACGTGTGGGTATTTTGGATATTAATTTGTGGAATTATTTGAGGTTTTTTGAGGGGAATTTTCACCTTCAATTATTATTTTAGATTAAAGAAGGGGTTACTCTTCTTTAGGATTATTAAGACTCGAGTCTTGATCATCCTAAATTGAAACTGAATTCATTAGTTTCTTGTTTGGAATTATTCTTCTGGAAAAATTTGGGATAGTCGAATTGTCAATTGTCAATGAAAATTACGGGATCATCATGATTTTATATCAATATTATCACTGAAACATGATTGTACATATCATCAATTGCATCATTAATTGCATGTAATAATTATTCCACTTTCATGATTTGCAGTACTTCTCTGGTCTTGAGGAAGCAGTATACAGGAATATTGCAGCATGCAAACAGTTCGCTCAGACCGTGCGCACTGCGTATGGACCCAATGGCATGAACAAAATGGTGATTAATCACATCGAGAAACTGTTCGTCACCAGCGATGCTGGGACCATCATCAGGGAGCTGGATGTCGAGCATCCGGCTGCCAAGCTGATGGTCATGGCGTCGCAGATGCAGGAGGCTGAGGTCGGCGATGGCACGAATTTTGTCATCATGTTCTGTGGGGCCCTGCTGGAGGCTGCTGATGAACTTCTCCGTCTTGTGAGTACGGGAATAAAATTAAATCCATTTGCATTTGTGTTGCCCACTTCTATTTTCGAATTATCTCGGTGTGAATGGTTTTATTCAGAAACGTTTTTCACAGGAAATTATGGGTTATAACTTTTTGTGAAGGTATTCTTTTTTGGAAATTATTATTTTGTCAATTGAGTAGAACCACATTGTTAAAAAAATGAAATTTAAGATTTCACTGACAATTCAATGAACTTCCACATTTTTTAGCAACAGAATGACGAAAATTCTCTTACTTACTTAAATTTTTTCTCAAAACACGAATATTTAGTACCAAATAGAAATTTTATATTTTTATATTTTTCATAATTTCATGATTATAAAAAAAGAAATTATAATTCTATATTTTTAATAAAAGTTTTTCTGATTTTTAGTCATTTTCGTGGAATAGTTGAACTGAAATTTATTTCCATTGCCACTTCCATAAAATTTTGAATATTCAATGATGAAATTCTCTGAAATTTCAGTGGAACTATAAAAATTTTCAAAAATGTAATTCAATAGTGAATATTCTTGCATGATTCCAGGGTATTACGACATCAGAAGTGGTGATTGGTTACGAAGTAGCTCTAGAAAAAGCTGTTGAGATCCTCTCAACCCTCGTAATCCACGAGATCAAAGACGTGAAGAACGTGGAAGAGGTGAAAGCAGTGATGAAGTCCTCGATAATGAGCAAGCAGTACGGAAACGAGGAGCTGTTGTCATCCCTGGTCAGTCAAGCCTGCATCTCCATCCTCCCTGAGAACACCACCTTCAACGTTGACAACGTACGAGTCTGCAAGATCCTGGGGTCTGGGATTCACGCGTCCCAGGTGATTCAGGGGATGGTCTTCAAGCGCGATGTCGAGGGAGACGTGACGAAGCAGGAGAAGGCTAAGATTGCTGTCTACACGTGCCCCATCGATACCTCCACCACTGAGACCAAGGGAACTGTCCTCATCAAGAGCGCCAAGGAGCTTCTCGACTTCTCCAGGGGCGAGGAGTCACTCTTGGAGGGACAGATCAAGGCTATTGCCGATTCGGGAGCTAAAGTCGTTGTTTCTGGGGCCAAATTCGGAGACATGGCACTGCATTTCGTTAACAAATACAATCTCATGGCTGTCCGCATTCCAAGCAAATTCGATGTCAGGAGGTTGTGCAAAGCTGTTGGAGCTGTTGCACTCACGAAATTGGTAAATCATTTTTTACTGTATTTTATATGAATTAATATTGACGAGTAGGAAATTATTCTGTAAAGTGTGAGGTCAGTAGTGAAGTTGTAGAATGGAGTGGGGGAATTTTAATTGAAGAGCTTTTTTCCTAGGAAAATATTCATTAACTTAAGAGGAAAATTCAACTGTTTTCTTAAATCATCAGTTCAGTTCATGCAGAACTTGTCTGAAAGTCAAGTCAACTAATTTCATTAGACTAATTTGTTATTGAATTAGGAAATTTTGATGAAATTGGACAATATCAGAAAACTTTGTAGTCTCTAACAATTCGCACACAAAAAGTATTTTGAGATGAGTCAATTCCATTTGAAGTTCTTGTAAAATTGTCTTACAAATAGATTATGCAGTAAACGACTTCAGGAAAATTTCACTATTTAGTTTAAATTCAAAGTTATTTATAACGAATTGATCTTTAATTCAACTCAAATTCTTTGAACTTTTGCACCTTTGCTATTGAATTTTGAATCTTTTAATATATAATCGTGGAAAAATACCCTTTCCACGATTATTTTCTTTCAAAGATAAGATGAAAAATCATTCAATGTCATTGCATTCCCTTCAGATTCCGCCAACTCAAGAAGAACTAGGTTACGCCGACTCAGTCCACACTGACGAGCTTGGAGATACTGCTGTCGTAGTATTCAGGCTCGATGGAAAAGACAGCAAGATCAGCACAATCGTCGTTCGTGGCTCAACAGAGAACTACATGGACGACATTGAGCGTTGCATTGACGACGGTGTCAACACATTCAAGGCCGTCACCAGGGACGGGAGATTCGTGGCAGGAGCAGGAGCTACCGAGATTGAATTGGCCGCACAAATCGCTGCCTACGCCGACACCCGTCCTGGGTTGGAACAGTACGCAGTGAGGAAATTCGCAACTGCCTTAGAGGTCTTCCCTAAGACTCTTGCTGACAACACTGGGAACAGGGCTTCTGAGCTGGTTTCTAAACTTTATGCTGCTCATAAGGAAGGAAATAAGACTTTTGGGTTTGATATTGAGGTAATTATCAGCTTTGCAAGCACTTTTAGTTGTTTAAAATCACTTTGTGATTTTTAAATTATGGCAGGTGCTGCAAATCATGACTAATTCATTAATCAATTTCTCAAGGATTTGTTAATGATTTTTCTGTTGTTTATGACTTGAAAGAATACAACATTGTTAGAGAAAAATTAGAATTTCAGGAGTGATGAAATTTAAGGTATTTAGTGAAAATTTAATGAAATTAAAAAATTTTGATCAGCAGGAAGACGAGAATTCTCTAATTTACTTGATCTTTTAATCAAAATTCTTTAAATAATTGGAAATTCAACAATGTATTTTTATTTCTACTGATTTCCATCGAATAATTGACCTGAAATTTACAGATTCCATAGATTTTTCCATAAAATTTTGAAATTTTAATGGCAAAATTCCTTGACATTCCCGCAAAACTATAATGCGACGAAAATTTCCAAGGAATGTACTGAAAATTTCAATGAAAAACTGTTAACAGTGAATAATGGAATGATAATGCTTCGTATGATTTTTAATGTTCAAATTATTAGAGAAACTCAAAATTTAAGTGGATCCTTGTAAAAAAAAAATTATCAAGACGTTTTTCGTATAATTTTCAACATGTTGTATAATGTTTTAGGGCGCTGGAGCTGCAGTACACGATGCAGCAAAAGCTGGAATTTTGGATGCATTCTTAGTAAAGCAGTGGGGCTTGAAATACGCAGTCAATGCTGCCTGCACCATCCTGAAGGTCGATCAAATAATAATGGCGAAACGTGCAGGTGGACCGAAACCACCAGCAGGCCACCACAACAGCGACGACGAGTCGTAAAGTCACAGTCACTCAACGAATTGCCCTCCCTAATTTTTTACACCGTTGTACTCGCGAAGATTAATTCACACGCTTTGTTTGATAATAAATTCATACATACTGGAGAGGTATTCTTCATCATGTACCTCATTTGGTAACATTTTCATCATGGTTTCATTAAATTACAAGTTTGTTATTCAGAAACGTGAGGATTTATCGATCTCTATTGTCACAAGAGTTGATGCGTAAGTCAGAGAATTGCAAAGTTGAATAAAGTTGGTAATTTCACAAGATATAATGGTTTTAATTAATTTGAACATCCCCTTTTGATTTAATCCTGTAGCGAAGTTGTTAAATGTCGTCATTTCATTATTTACTAAGGGGCTACCATTGCTCGCTCCGCTGGTCAACCCCCATATGACTCCAATGATCCTTATTCTAACCCTTGTGACCCTTAATCTGAGCCTCGTGACCCTCATTCTATTTTGACCCTTGTGAACTTTAGTTTCTGCCCCCCGTGGCCCTTACTTGAACCCTTAATCTGACTTGTGATCATTAATGTGACCCTTATTTGGATCTTTAATATGACCCTTCATTTGACCCTTGTGAAGCTTAATGTGAGCCTCGTGACCCTCATTCCATTTTGACCCTTGTGATCCTTAGTTTCTGATCCTCATGACCCTTACTTGAAGCCTTAATCTAACTTGTGAACATTAATGTGACCCTTACTTGGATCTTTAATATGACCCTCATTATGACCCTTCAACTTGTGACCCTTATGACCCTTCATTGGATCCATATGATCCTTAAATTGACCCGCCTGGCCCTTATTCTGATCCTCTTGACCCTTATTTTAACCCTTGTGACCTTTATTTTTGCAGTCTTAATTTCGAGTACCAAATTTTCATCACCAGAAGTCGATTTGGATTTTTATAAAATAGAGAGATGATCTAAACTGTGTCGTACAGTTTGTTATAATTTTTACAAAACATTATCTTCGAAAAACATGGGGAAAATCGTTAGAAAAACCGGTTGTCTAAGGATATCCCTTAAAGTCGCCAAAAATTCTAGAAATATCCAAGCAAAATCGACTTCCTCCCTCCTTCAATCGATTCCCCTCATTGCGTGTTCAGTCCCCATTACTCCCGACCTTGATCCCCGCTGAAAGCGCTCGCCGCATGCAACCCCCCGCACCCAAACCCTCATCCCTCCGACAGCATTCACCACGGAAGTATTAATATTACTGAGCCTAAAAATACTAGATAAACTTGCCAATGCCGTCCTCCCCTCCTATCCCTCCCAAATACCGCCGAATCTTCTCGTCGCGGAATAAAACCGGGAAAAAACACCTGCCACTCCCATTTTCCCCGAAAAACAAAAATCCCATTCAACCCGAATAAAGTACGTACTCTCGGATCCACGAGATAAAGGGTTTCGCGCAAAATTCAGTCGTCGTCGGTTCCCCCCAATTCGCATTTGTTCCCTGATTGGTCGATACCATATAAATACCGGCCGGCCCACGCGCTTCGTCAGTATTCAAAAACTTCTCAAAGTGTCAACTGCGTTGAGGCACACCTCATCACCCGTTTTACGTAATTCTGTTATTACGCACAAGTGATCGAACTGCATCATAGCTGGGTAAAACAGTAAATATTCGCTCTACTAATTAGAGTATTCAAGACCATTCGTTCCTTCGCAGTTATTAAGTGAGACTAAAATAGTATTTGAGATATTCTGATCCAGAGGTAAATACTATTTCCAATGGATAGGTGATCATTTGAAATAGTTTCATGTCATTATTTGAAATAAAATAACAAACATTGATGATAATTACTCCAAAACTACTGCAATGACTGAATTTCATTCGACATTACGAGATAAACATGAAATAAATCCCGATTATTTTAAAATTTCATTCAAAACGTGAAACAAGATGGATAATATCATTTCATTTATCGCTCTAATTGAATGAAATAGTATTTTTTACGCTATTCCAGTTTGAAAGCAAAAATAATTGGTATTTAATCAGTGATGATGATAAACTTGAAATGATTTTTTCAAAAAGTGTAGCATTACAATGAATCATTGATGCCAATTTCTTGAAATTTTGTTCATTTCATTATTTGACATAAAACTACAATCATTGATGAATGATTAAAACTATTGCAATGATCGAATGTCACAATGACATTACGAGACAAGAATTAATTAAATTCCAACTATTTAGAAACTTCATTCGAAGAGTGAAATAAAATAGGCAATGCTATTGCATTCGCCTTTCTAATTAAAGACAGTATGATTCATGCCCGTAAGAATTGTATACATTTAGGTTTGTGCGTAATGTGAAGATCGAATGAGACGAGCGCATTATAATTTTCAATGTCCACATTAAATTCAATCACAAAATATTGAAGTCTCAAGTTGTACACAGTGTCACTCTGCTGGATGCACATGACAAATGATAAATGTTCTGCAAAAAAGTTGTACTTAATTTCTTTACACATGAGGAACGAATATCAGTTGTTCACACCTGTGTCAAAAACGTTCACAAAAATAATACGTGTAGTTATTTATGTGCACGCAATTAGAGAATGAATAAAGAGGATAGTTGTGCATAAAATATCGTGCGGAATGAACGACAATATCTGCAATAATTAAGAGCTCCATTCGAAAAATTGAAATCTACTGACTTTTTCCTATCAAATATCTCATAGAATCACACGGAGAGAAATGTCCAGTAAAAATTACGGAACTCACAGCTCGCTCACCGATTACGGAATCGACTCAGAAAATTTAAGTGACGGTATCGTAATTTTTCACAGGAGATTCAGGTAAAAATTACGGAACGCTCTGGAAAAATACTGTGATTTCAGGTAAAAATTACGTGACAGTTTCGTAACATTTCCTACAACCACATTTCGCTCTGGAATTACGGGAAAGATACGTCATTTTTATTGAATATTTCTCTCCGTGCAGCGCAAAAAACAAATAGAATTTTAACGAGAATTCCCTAGAATTCTAGTAGAATCCCAATAGAATTAGAGAATTTGAATAGAATTTTCTAGCGAATTCGCTAAGTTTCTGTTGAATTTTCTCATGCGCGATCCCAATCTATTAAATTTCTCCTTTAGAAGCAGAAATAACTAAAAAGTACCATTAATTAATCATTTCATCCATTTGAGAACCTTTTTCTACAGGATTTCCATGGAATAGTCCCACCTCCGAATCAACTACTCCCACAACTAAAGCTCCCAAACAATAATCGAAAGATGCCGGCGGTAGGAATAGACCTGGGTACGACCTACTCCTGCGTGGGAGTGTGGCAGCACGGAAAAGTCGAGATAATCGCCAACGATCAAGGAAATAGAACGACACCATCATACGTGGCCTTCACCGACACAGAGAGATTGATCGGCGATTCTGCCAAGAATCAAGTTGCCATGAATCCCACCAACACAGTGTTCGATGCCAAACGACTCATCGGTCGTCGTTACGATGACGCAAAGGTGCAGCAGGACCTGAAGCACTGGCCATTTGCAGTGATAAACGAGGGGGGAAAGCCGAAGATCCAGGTGGAATTCAAAGGCGAGAGGAAAGTCTTCGCCCCCGAGGAGATAAGTTCGATGATCCTGATCAAGATGAGGGAGACGGCTGAGGCATTTCTCGGATCCAAAGTCCGAGACGCCGTGATAACAGTTCCAGCGTATTTTAATGATTCCCAGCGTCAGGCGACGAAGGACGCGGGGGCCATCGCAGGACTCAATGTCCTACGGATCATAAACGAACCGACCGCAGCGGCTCTAGCTTACGGTCTGTTGATTATTGTCTGTTGATTTTTTTTGTTACGAGATCGGAGGCGCAATTCGATAGATTTTATATGATTCATCACGTTAATACACTGAGAAAAAAAATTCTAATATCTGAAACATATTTTCTTGAGACAAGTAAGTTTGCTTCAATTGTTTAATTCTCCCACACAGAGAGAAATATTCAATGAAAATTACGTATCTTTTCCGTAATTCCGGAGCGAAATGTGGTTGTAGGAAATTTTACGGAACTGTCACGGAATTTTTCCGGAGCGTTTCGTAATTTTGATCTGAATCTCCTGTGAAAAATTAGGATACCGCCACTTAAATTTTGTGAGTCGATTCCGTAATCGGTGAGTGAATTGTGAGTTCCGTAATTTTTACGAAACATTTCTCTCCGTGTAGGCATCTCAACTCACGTGGCCGGAGAAAGGTCTCATCCATTAAAATATTCTTGAACTCACGATATTGTCGCAAATGAACTCACTCAAATCGCGTAGAAGAACCGTCAAGCTTCACGTATCTATTGTTTTCATGATTTTTTTGTTATGCAGTTGCAATATTTCGATATGTAATATATTCATGATATAATGCGCAACGATAGTGATACATGAGAATTCATTCGAGTTCTGTGAACCGCAATCATTCTGAGATTTAAACCATTGAAAATAATTTACTTCTCTCAAGTAAATATGGTCTACATATTAGAAAATTTTTCTCTCAATGCATTTAAGTAGATTGGAATCAATATGTTTGTTCACGTATACGAATTTCTATAGTATTACTGAGGAGAAATTCGTGTGACATCTTTTTATTATAATAATAAGACGAGATCGGAGCCGCGCCCCGCGTCCCTTGATAGTTCGATAGATTTTATATGATTCATCGCGTTAATATTTAAGTAGATTGGAATCAATATGTTCTTTCATGTATACGAATTTCCATAGTATTACTGAGGAGAAATTCTTCGAAATCCAAAACTTTTACGAGTAATTTTCTACACGGAGAGAAATATTCAATAAAAATTACCAGAAAAAAGACAAGAAAGTAAAAATTACGTTTCGAAACGTAATCTGGGAGCGAAGTAAAATTCAATAAAAAGTGTCAATCGTCACGTAAATTCTACGATCTGTTCCGTAAAAATTACTCATCCGTCCGACGTCTCACGGCTAGCCATGAGTCACCGTGAGGGGGAGATTTTAACAACACGTTCCGTAATTTTTCCGGAACTTTTCGTAAACATTCTTAAACATCCAAGAATTTTCATGTTCTGAGGCATAATAAGTCTTGAAGTTTCTGTTAGATTTTACAACTTCCAGAAAAATTACGTGACTTTTTCGTATTTTTTCGGTGACAGACCCGAAAATTTACTGAACGTTTGAGATTTATTCTCTTATATTCCTATAGAAATTCACTGAAAACGATTCTCGCTTGCGGATTACGTGAAATGTTTGGTAATTTTTCTTAAATATTTCTCTCCGTGTAACAGTGTAGTATCCTTACAGGTCTCGATAAGAACCTGAAGGGCGAGAAGAACATTCTGATCTTCGACCTGGGGGGCGGCACGTTCGACGTGTCGATTCTCTCAATCGACGAGGGATCGTTGTTCGAAGTGAAAGCAACAGCCGGTGACACCCACCTCGGGGGAGAGGACTTCGACTCGAGACTGGTCCGTCATTTCGCGCAGGAATTCGATCGGAAGTACAAGAAGGACCTGACGAAGAACCCCAGAGCCTTGAGGAGACTCAGGACCGCTGCGGAACGCGCGAAACGAACCCTCTCCTCGAGCACCGAGGCCTCGCTGGAGATCGACGCGCTCTACGAGGGCATCGACTTCTACACGAAGATCTCGAGAGCGCGCTTCGAGGAGCTCTGTTCCGATCTTTTTCGAGCGACGCTGGAGCCCGTGGAGAAGGCCCTGAACGACGCCAAGATGGACAAGAAGACCGTCAACGATATCGTCCTGGTGGGGGGCTCCACCAGGATCCCGAAGATCCAGTCGCTGCTGCAGGGGTTTTTCAACGGAAAACAACTGAATTTGTCGATCAATCCGGATGAGGCGGTTGCGTACGGAGCTGCTGTCCAGGCGGCGATTTTGACTGGGGCTGGCAACACCAGTTCTGCTCTTCAGGATGTTCTTCTGGTCGACGTGGCCCCGCTGTCTCTCGGGATTGAGACGGCCGGGGGCGTGATGACGACTCTGATCGAGCGAAACGCGAGGATTCCGTGTAAACAGATGCAGGTCTTCACGACTTATTCTGATAATCAGCCTGGGGTCGCGGTTCAAGTGTTCGAGGGGGAGAGGGCCATGACGAAGGACAATAATCTACTGGGGACCTTCGAGTTGTCTGGGATTGCGCCCGCCCCCAGAGGAGTCCCCAAGATCGAAGTGACTTTTGATCTCGATGCCAATGGAATTCTCCACGTGACGGCCAAAGACACCGGGAGTGGGCGGTCGAGGGATGTCACTATCAGGAATGACAAGGGCCGACTCAGTCGCGCGGAGATTGACAAGATGCTGAGGGACGCTGAGAGGTACAGGGAGGAGGACCAGAGGCAGAGGGAACGCGTGGCTACCAAGAATAAACTTGAGGCTTATGTTTACTCGGTGAAGCAGGCGGTGGAGGACAGCGGGGGGAGGCTCTCTGATAGCGACAGGCGGAAGGTTTTGGAGATGTGCGAGGATACGGTCAAGTGGCTGGAGGGGAACTCTCTCGCGGAGAGGGAGGAGTGCCAGCACAAGCTGGAGACGCTGCAGGCGCAGTGCTCGCCGATCATGGTGAAACTGCATCGAGCGGCGGAGGGCTCTGGGGGACGCGGGAGTGATGGGCCTACTATTGAAGAAGTTGACTGAAGGGAGGGGACGATTCGAGGATGTGGTACACAAAAAAAAATATTTCGGAGGATATTTGCGGGAGACTTTTTGGAATTTTTGGGAGGTTTTAGATGCACGGAAATTTTAAGGAATTTCGTTGGTCAAAATTCAAAATTTTATGGGAAATCAATGAGGACTGGTAATTTTAGTTTCATTTTTCGCTGACGATGAATAGAAATCAGGAAAATTCTAGGAGATATATTTTTAATTTTTCAATTGTCTGACAATTCAGCGTAATTTGGCATTGACTGTTCATCTTCATTGACTGTTCGGAACTTCAGCAAATTTTCAGTGAAATCAGAAATTTCATGATTTTTCCGGCCTAATTACATTCAATGCCACCCTCCTGAAAATTTTATTGGTTGACTGTCCATGAAATTTCAATTTTTGAAACTTTGTTCTTAATTTTTATTTTTTTGGACTTAGTATTGAAGTTAATTGAAGAAATGGGGAGATCTGAGGCGGTGGTACGCTGTTGAAAAAATTTGGACGATATTTTCGGGAGACTTTTGGGAATTCTTTGGCAGGTTTTACATGCACGGGAATTTCGAGGAATTTCGCCGATCAAAATTCAAAATTTCATGGGGAAATCAAGAGAAACTCTTAATTTTAGTTTAATTATTTGCTGACAATTAGTAGAAATCAGAAGAATTCTAATAAATATATTTTAGATTTTTCAATTGATTGACAATGCAGCGTAATTTGGCATTGAATATTCATGTTCATTGACTATTCGGAATGTCAGTGAATGTTCAGTAAAATCGGAAATTTCGTGATTTTTCCGAATAATTTTAATGAATTTAATGATTCAATGACTTTAATGAATAATATTCCACCGATCCCTCAGAAAATAAATATTCAAATCGATTCGATCATAAATCAAAAAATTGTTTCAGTGCCCTCTTGACCGAGTTCTAAGATGGTGAATATAGCATTCATTCTTGAATGACAGCCTGGAAATAGCGGTTTTTTACGTCAGACCCTTGTTTATGCAGCCCACGATGATTCATAGATTATGTTAATCGTCGCCATCACAAATCATGTCCACTCGGAAGCACTTTGATAATTTATTAACAAAAATAACTATGCTGAAGCGAAAAAAAGGCAATTAGCCACTCGTTTTCTTGGACTTTTTAATGGAAGACGTGAAAAATAAGTGGGTGATTGCTTATGTTTCGTTTCACAACAGCTAGTTTTGCTCGTAAATTATCGATATTTTTGCGGGAATTTTTCGTGAGGATATCGACTAGAATAATCTCTGAATCATTAGGAATAACCGCATATGCGCAAGGGTCTAACGTAAGAAATGCTATTTCCATCATAATTGAACTGGATCAATAGAACAGATGACATTTTTTTTCTAATCACGATTAAATGAATTTAAACAAATTTTTTTTTTCTGGGGAACGGTCGATCGTCGAAGAATGAATTTTCGGAAAAATATGAATGTCTCGGAAAGTATATCACAGATCAAGTTCCAATTGATTTCGATGGATAACACTAATTAAAGACGACATCCGGAAGAAAAAACAGGATTTTATACATTAGTCATGGGTAAATTTAAGATGACTTATCATATTTCACTACTTCGATAGTGATAATATAGCTTTGGCTTTCTAAGAATACAGTATTTAGTTTCAATTTGACTGCTTCAATTCTACTGCTTCTGCTGTTACAAAATGTGATTCACTAAGCTAGGTTTGACTGATGTTTTATATTGTTACTTAATGGATGATAATAAATCATGTTTTTAATATGATCAGCATAAAAATATGATTTGGATAAACATTACACCATTACAATTCTGACACGAAATGCTTTTTTGGGAATTTTTATTCCAAATTCAAAAGTAAAAAATTTTATTCAAAAGTGTATCATGAGTCATCGTTTCTTCATTTCTATCCCGAAATTTAGCAAAAATTAGAAAGAAAGAACCCATGAAAAACGAAAACAATATGGTAATAGAGGACTAAGACGATTAATTGTAAATCGTGATTAATTCGTGATTTTTTTATTAGAAATATATTTTGTTTTAGGATTAATTTTTTTATCGTATAAAGTCTGTAGGAAATTACTAACTGAGTGGAATGGCTCTTGATGAAGTCGTATTCTCGAGTTCTTGCATTCTTAGGAGCAAACTCGCGATTGTATGCCTCAGTAAATGGAATTTAGCCATACTCAATTCGAACATGTATCGCTGTCCTGTACTCAGCGTCCACTCCATCAGAATTGTGGGTTCCAGCACTCGTGAGAGGTAACTGAAACATTGGAAAATTATATTTGGATGTAATTCAAAAGGGAAGAGGGTAAATAACTCCCCAATCACGTTGAATTATTGTCGTTTATTCTCAGAGAAATTACCTGGAAGATATCGTGATATCGATTCTCCAGCGACACGACTTCAACGTTGGGAAAAATTTAGTTCTCTCCGTTAGACCTTGGATGAGGGCGGGTCGTTTGTGCCCATACAAAACTGCACACAAGTCTTCAATGCAACTATTCTCAAATCTGTAAAGAAGGAAAAATGAAAGGGACTTTAGATCCAATCAGGGAATAGTGAGGATATCCAAGTTCTTTAGATTTTTTTCGTTGATTGTGCAATCATTTCGTATTTTGAAAACCTGAACTTGATTCTCCAGTTTAAACCGTCGGAGTTCTATTAGAATTGATTAAAATTCTATTGAGGAAATCTCAACAGGATAATTGATGTAAAAAAATCAATATTTATGCACTTTTTCTTGTTAAATATCAATAGGATAATAATTTCAACACATAATTTCCAATAGAATTCCAATAGAATTTCTTAAAGAAAGTTTTTAAAAGATCATGACATTTTTATGAATAATTTATGAACATTCATTTTGCATCCTAAAGAATATTTGTCTTCGAAATCGTCCCCGAAAGCGTAAACAATTTACCATCAATTGTTTATAAGAAGAAAATGTTTTAAAAATAGCTTGTGAAATTTAAATTTTAATACTTAATAGACGAATTTGACGATTTCAAATCTCGAAAACTGTGGAAATCACTTGAATATCATAAAAAAATCATTGTCATGAAGTGGAATTTACTTCAATTCTTGTAGACATTCTTTAAAATCAGCAGTCTTTATAGGACTATTGGCAGATCGCAGGTGAGTCCTGAAAATCGTGAGTACTGCCGAATACCACTCATCGACTTTTTCCTGTGGCAAGTTGTACTTTTCGGATAATCTGTCAAGAATTCCATCCTCGATATGCTCCTGCTCAATAGCTTTCACCGCCACTGCAAATTATGAATTATAAATAATACAAGTCATTATCATTATCATAATCATTGTCATTATCTATTCATTGTGTAGTCCTAGACCCCCCGAAGTCAGAGGCCTCTGAATCCTATTAGTTGCGGCAAATATCACTTTAAAAATCCTTCATTCGATTGTGAGACCAATTAGACTGAAAAGTCAGAGGTTGATTTTCGGGTCAAATGGTAAAAAAAAATAATAGGGGAGCATTAACTCGAGATGATAGTGTGGCCTCCGCGGCCGTCAGAAATCAAACGATTCCTTTTAAAATTCCTATTGAAACCGCTGAGGCCAACCCGCTGTCATCTTGAATTAATAAATTACGGAGGCCGTAAAAAACTATCATCTGATATAATATAAATAGAAAATTATAGGTTCTTTATGTTGAACTTAAATCCTCATGATATGGCTGAATGAATAAGATTATGAATGAGATTATTTAAATATTATGGTGTTTAATAGATTAGTTTATGGTATTTTAAGTGGTTTTAGTATTACGTCAGGCGTAGAGTACTAAATATTCATGTATTTAAGCATTTGATATTTTTATAATTAAATTCTTGCTTATCACCAGAAGAAGATTGAACTTTTTTTTATGGGTATCTACTATTTTCGATGTCCCTAAATACTGAGCATGAAAATATCTCCTAAATCCTATAGGAAATCCTATGGAGAATTCGAACATTTCCTATAGGATTTTTCTGATTTTTTTGGTCTTTTTTCCTATAGGAAATCCTATGGGAATTTTTTCATACATGTTATCCCATGCAATCTCCTGTGGATTGCTAAACTAGGATAAGTGCATTTGTAATACACATTGCTGGTAAGCGATTGAAGCAAAAACGCGTTTTCCAAAAAAAAGCGCTTATCCTAGTTTACCAATTCATCACAGAAATTTTTTCGTGCGTGTATTCAACAGAGTACGCCTGTCACTCTGTTCCTCAACACCGCGACTAGAGGTACACTAATAACTCACATTGGATAAGTGGCCGTAGGATCGTCTTCTTTATCTCTGATATATGTTTTCCTTTGCTGCCTAAAGTGGTTGTCAAACATATCGCTGTGTCACTCGACATGAGGAAATGCTTCTTCGTCTTCTTGGTGAACTACTCTTAGTACCCAGATCAGATTTTCGTGAACATCCACAGATGATGTTTACAAAGAATCATTCACTGACTGTCCCCACTCAGTACATGCGCCTTGAGGATGTGCCCGGTACCATTCCCGATGATAAGAATGTGTTGAAACATTGTAATTATGATTTCTACCGTTGCAACCGCTGATAAAAACCCTGACTGCCATGCCCACTAGTTCAGCTCAAGTTAATTAGACAATTTGGCAGGTACCAGAGTGACTCAGGAACATTTCTTCTCTAAGAACCCGGAGACTAATGGGGAACTTGCGCGCACGTGCGAAAAAAATTAATAGTAAAACGTAGCGAATTCGCTAGAATTCTGTTCGATTTCTATTGAATTTTCTGGGAGTTTTTGGCTGATTCTATTGAAGTGTTTAATAAAAAATATTATAATACGATAGAATAAGTCAATAGAATGAGCCAATTTCTTCAAAATCGCTACAACGACCGCTAGAGGGTTAACCCGCGGTGAAATGGGAGGTACAAATCCCACCACTGGGCGTTTGTACCTCCCCGATCTCGTGTATAAGAAGAATGAAGAAAGTGGCTAATTCGATTCTTCTATACAACTTGTTCTATTGAGATATTTTCTATAAAGTTTCCTCGGCTTAAATTTTCTAAGTTTTTTTGTTTGATTTTCTTGATGAAATGAAAAGAAAAAAAGAATAACAAAAACTTAGAAAATTTGAGCCGAAGAAATTCTATAGAAAACATCTTAACAGAATAAGTTTTATAGAAAAATCAAATTCAGTTGTTTTTTATAGAATATTTCAATAGAATCCGCCCAAAACTAATGGCAAAGTTCAATAGAAATTCAATAGAATTGTCTAACGAATTCGTTAGATTTCTCTATTAAATTTTTTCGTGCGTGTGGAGCTCAGTTATCCATAATTTCCCTATTCACCCACCGATGTATTCTACATGGCCCATACGTAGCTGAACGAAAATAATTATGGAAAAATATTGCCTAGATATTTCACAATAGTTGATTGAAAATCAGGCGTGTTTGAAACCATTATTTCGGTCACGACGTAGCAAAACGGCATACGCAAGGCCGGGTATCGTTCCGTTGGTCGAATGTGGGAAGAGAGGGGAGTTGCCGTCATCCATTGGATAAGGCGCACGTTAGGATTGGGTTAGGTCGGCTCGAGCCAGTCTGTCATTGGTCCGGCGTTCGACCACCCTTGTGACACCATTAGCGATTTCAGAGCTTTTGCAACCTTCAAATTTCGATAATCGATTATTAATTAACGAGCAATATTTTCCCATGTTTATGAAAAAAAAACAATTCACCTAGAGGTGGGACTAGCAGATAATTTAAAAGACTCTAAATCATAACGAAATCAGAAAGAGATCTTATTATTAAAACTTGTGATATATAAAATTCATCATTCTGATTCAATCTAGTTATTGCATTTTCACGTGTATAATTATCTGCACCTACATTTATTTAATCAAATTTTTATTTGCTCTTATACGCTTGTAATTCATTATATTGTGATGCTTTTTCTTCCTTTTGTAAAACAGCAATGTCGATTTGACTAGAAACGAGTTGATAAATTAAAAAATGGGAGAAAAATCCGCAGGTAAAAAGAATGGCATCTTTTAAATAAATACAAAATTTAATATCCAATGAGTTATTTCACAAAATGTACAGTAAGTAAACCCTTTCAGATTTCAGAATTAGTTTCACCGCAGTTCGTTACTCTCATTATTCATCAATAAAAAATAGAACAAGTCATTTTGCACTTAAGATAGTTGTACAACCGTATTTAAACTCGTGAATTTGGTAAAATTACAATCTCGACATGTTTAAATACATCTTTACATATATTTTAAATAGATAAATAAGTTGATAAATATCTTACAAATAATAATAAATAGACTAAACATATTATTACACATATTATTCCTAATTGTCTAGATTATTCTAGAATAAGTCATCGCCTCCGAAATCGAGGCCGCCGTAATCATCCCCGTAGTCGTAATCGTCGGCTCCTGGTGGCACAAAAATTCCTCCCAAAAATCCGGAGAGTCTGTCGGCAAGTCCCATGCTCTTCGCGAGCCCAAATATGAGCCTCATTATTAAGAGCCTTATGAAGTTCGGGGTATTAGTTTCTTTGTTTTGCAATTGAAACTGCTTCCGCTTCCCGAATGATAGGGTACATTGGATTGTGCTAAGCTGTAAGGAACATTAAAAATTTTATTGTCAGTAATTGAGGGTGAAAGTGGCAAAATGAGCACTTCTCAGTTTTTTCTAAGTGTCGAAAAATTTCTTTTCCATGGAAATTATAATACATTTGGTCTCTTATTGATGAATTTGTTTTTGAAATAAAAATCAAACATCGATTTTACCCCCTCCCCCTGTGAGGGTTCTCTTCATTTCTTACACGAAAAAAAAATGTGGAAGACAATAACAAAATTGCCAGAACTATTGGATTAAACTATTTGGATTAAAGTTTGGTTCAGTTTTATTGTATTTTTTACTAGGATTTTGATAAAAATTTCTGAAAAACTGATGATTACGATTCCTCAAATTGAAGAATAATTATTGAAATAAAGTTCTACTGTTGAAAAAAATTCAGAGATTATTAAAACCTGCAAATAATTACTAGCTCACCAAAAAATTCGGATGTGGCACTCTAATTTTTAAAGCTCTTCCCTTGAAAATTAGGGTTCCACATCCCAGTTTTTTAGTGATCATGGATTGATCAATACTACATACATTTCTGCCAGAATTTATTCTCCGTGTACTCAACTTTGAATCGGAATTAATATTTAGCAATAATATTTACTTTTAAAATTCTCGTAGAGTTTATTCAATAATACCCCGAATTATTATTATTTAGATTCTTCTCATCGATTGTTATACAACTTTTTACAATGCGTCGCGAGCAACGGAGTATTAAAGAAATTATCCTTCCGTGCAAATAAAAACAAAAGAAATGTACATACATTGAAGCAAATTGTGAAGAAGATAAGAACAATGGCAGTTTTCATCCTGAATCTCATTCCCCCAGCCATGATCAATAAATCACTTTCTTCGCGTCTGCCTAATGACTCCAATTGCTTTCCTCGTCCAGCGATGTTTTAAAACCCCGCGAAGTGCAGTTGCGATGCGGTTGAGTTTCCGCAATTAATTCACTCCTCTAAAAGGCTCAACGCTCAGCGCTCAACAATGGTCTCCCCAATGACATTCAATGCACTTGCGGTAGTCCCGCGTATTCCCCCGAAGATACAAAAAAGACTTCACTGGAAAAATAAATGTAACACGTTCACCTCGGCTCCCTCACGAGACTGGCGTTATTCTCACCAGTCGCGTGTAACCATACGCGATAACTCTTCCTGATCCCTTCTTCCTTCTCCTTCTTCTATAATTTTTTTTCACATCAAACGCCTCACAAGACCGGCATTTAGAGAGTGACTGGGGAGAGGAGACCGCGCAGGGGTACCAAGTTATTTTACGATAACGGTATGCCACGAAAAAAAAGGCATCCAGGCCACACCGAGTCCTCTTCTGGCTTAAAACAACAGTACGATACCGAAAGGTTAAGCGCGTTGATTGGTTTTCTAAGTGGATGACACCAAACCCACATTTCCGAGGCATTAGGAAACACGATATGACGGATTCTCCGTCAATCTAGCCACCTATTTTTTTTTTCAAGGTCTCCACAAAATCTGAAAAAAGCTGTACTTTTATATTCATTAACAGTACTCTCTGTGAATTTTTTTAAGCATGGTGAAGATGAGTGGATCCAATGAAATTAAAAAAAAAATGATATCTAAGGAAGTTGACCTCAGAAAAAAAAATTTCGGGACGAAAAATTTACGTTTTTATTTGAATTGTTCAAATAATTTTTTTACATTCTAAAATTATCCTGAAAATTGCATTTTTATGCATTTCGATTTTTTTGTTTTACTTAAACAAATTGAGGCGATATGGTGATGCAAATTTAAGATCAATCAATGAAATTATCATCGGTCATTAGTGACTTTATCATCAATACTAACATTTTGGCTCAATCTTTGAAGTCACTCAAAGGCATAAAAAAATTTCCACACTTCAATTTGGAAGCTTCTTACTCTCATACGGAACGGTTGGCGGGAAGAATTGGAATTTTTTTTATCACCTTGGGTGACCTCAAAAATGGAGCCAAAATGTTAGTACGGATGACAAAGTCAGAAATTACCGGTGATGATGTTTTTCTCCAAAGCTTGCGGCCGTTCTATTTTCATTTCCATTGATCAACATTGAACTTAAATCATCACATCACGTTACTTTTCCAAAGAAGAACACAAAGGTCCAAATGCGTAAAAACGAAATTGTTAGGATTAATTTTAAAAAGTCAGGTAAAAACCTAAATTTTTGGTTCTAAACTTTTTTTTCTCTGAGATCAACTTCTCCGAATATCCATTTTGTTCTAAATTTCTACGGATGCTCTTATTTCTACCGTGGATGCTTAAAAAAATCTGAAAAAAATCACAAAGAGTAGTTTTAATGGATATAAAAGTACAGATTTTTTTGTCACTCCTGCTGCGTTCACCTCGTGCCGAAAAGTGCATTTTTTCGTTTACAAACAAAGGAAAAGCCTTTTCGTTTACTGGCAAACGAAAACGCGCTTTCGTCACGAGGTGAAGATATCAGCAGTGTCGAAACCGTCCGTTACATCATCAGGCGTTATATTAAAAGTATTATCTGACGAATGTGACTTTATAAGAATGGGATTACAATCACATTCGTAAGATAATACTTTTATTGCCACGATATACAATATTTTATGTCACTGGGCCCAAAATCTCGCTTCGCTCAGTTAGAATCACAGTTTATCGGACCTAATTTCATAAAATATAGTTCTACACGTGTGCGATGGGTATTTTTCTACTCGTCTAATCGACAGCCCTCGGCTTCGCCTCGAGCCTCCAACTTTACACTCGTAAAAAACCGGTCGCACTTACATCGGAATATACCATTTCAGATTTTTTGGAGACCTTGAAAAAAATAAGTGACTGGATTGACGAAGAATCCGCCATCCGTAATTCGTTTTATCTGTACACCATGTCCATCCGTTGTTCACATTCAATTCCATCAGTTGAATGCATATTCAGAGAACGATAAATAATTTTCAATGAGTGGTGGGTCATTCAATCCGTCGGCTAATGCAGGGGGAATATTTATTTTTCTGACGTCAATTGGACATGACCTTGAATATTCGCATGATGAACAACTCCGGGGTTTGAATGGGCCTCCAGTAGACGTAATGAACATCTCATTAGAGGGGACTACTATCCTACATTCTCGATCAACATCTGCCGATTGGGAAAGTTCGAAATTGTAGGAATGTTGCTTATTCAAAATTGACTCTGAATTTGAGGCGTAAATGGGTCAGTTCAATTAGGAAGAATTTTTGTCGGCAGCATTTGAACCTAGCTCTCTAATTTTTTCGAGTTTATCAATCAATTTTTTCGACAGGAAGTTGAGACAAAACTGATTCAAGGTATTCATCAATTTTTTTTACAATTTGTGGAGACAGCGGAGTTATGATGGGCAATTTCTTTATGGAATTGGGAGGAAAATTATTATAATTTTATTCTAACGTCTTAATCTTCGTGGAGCTCAGGAGGGCGGAACATTGGGGTTTTTCATGGTAATATTAATGTGAAATAAAAAATCGTGTGAATGGAAAGTTAGAGGGATAATCTTTAATATTCTGCTGCTAACGGCTGAATATTCTGGGAATTTTTGGTGGTCATCGCTTGGAAATTCTTATTTGGGGGATTCCCAAGAGGTCCAAATATGGGAATGGAATAGTGTATCCAGAGAGATGACTTATTTGAATTAAATGATCTTCATTTGCATCAAATAAATAAATTTATTCAGATGACTTAAGCCTGATTTTCATTTCCTCTTTATTCACATAAAATAAATAATTCCAAAAATAAACAGGTTTCCTTGATTAAAAAAAATATTTATTCGTTAGAAATTGAATAAATTTAATAACATGTGAATAAATTAACACGTGATAATGCTTTATTTACATCAAATAAAAAGTTATAATCCATTGAAACACGTCATTTCGTTGGGTGTGAGAATTACTCCTTTCATTTTGTCACCTGAATATCGCTAATGACTAATCTTTAAACATCAAAATGAACACGGAATGCGTTTGAGGAATAGCCTGCACAAAAAATTAGCTGTCTCTCCTAGCTTTCAAAAATACAACTCATCTCAGTCAAGAGGTGCTCAGTGAACCTTCTACGGAAGAAATGGCTGATAGATTAATTTGTAAGGATGGAGAAGGCGTTAAGAGAAGGTGGAGAGAAAAAAAACGACAGGTAAGAAGGAACGCAACCAGAGGCACAAAGATGTCCGGTGATAGGAGAATGTGTTATAATCGATGTGAGATAACTGAGATGTTGTTATGGAAACGAATGACTTAATCGAATAGCTTCGAATGATATTTTGTTCCATTGATTGATTCCAATGAACTACATTCCTTCGATTTATTTTGAAATGTTACTTTCAATGGATCAATATAGTAGAGGTGGGGGGATGGGAGAAAGAAGAGAGTGGGACTCTGAATAATTATCTAGAAATATAAATCGGTAGCGAAGAGGTAAAACGGTTTCAGTAGAAAACGGTTTTTTAAGGGGGCCTAAAAAATTCTTGTGGTCGTGTTGAGAATTGATTTGAATGAAAATATATTATTTTTTATTTTTATGGATTCATCTCTAGTGTTACAAACGTTTACTTTGTTTTACACCTATGTATGCCTTCTCCTCACCTTAATGATTAGATAACGTCAATTATAGAAAATTTGTTCCCAAATCATGGCTTAATTTTAGTTTAACTCTGTTTTAATTAGTCAAGATGGAATATCACAGTTAGTCCTCACTTATTTGTTGCTTTTCTTGAACGAAAACATAATTTTCAAGAAAAATGAATCGATCCGTTTTACCTCTTCGCTACTGAAATGATAACATATTTAATTTAAAGTTATGGGAGACATGAAGAGCTGCTAGAGACAAAGACAAAAAAAAAGTGTTTTAAAATTAAGGAAATAAATAATTAAATCGGATTAGACTCACTCGAATGCTTGAATAATTACGCATACCTCTATCCTCGGGGAATGTTTGTCTTCGAAGGTAGCGCTGACATACTATGAATAATTCTGCCTCCTTATCAAGTTGGAATTCAACCACCATAAATAGGCCATTCTGATCATAATTATTTTGATGACAATAAATGCGCTCTTTTGATTTATTAAACAAAATAAATCAACAAAGCGCTTCTCTACGAGTCACTCGAAAATCCATTAGTTTTTGCACCGGATAAAAATTTTGTGTTGCACACTATCTCTGCTGCCTGATGATTATCACTGTATCCCTATGCTGATTTTTTAATCTATCAAATGATCTTTCAGTAGGACCTTCATACACACTTTTATTGTGCACAGTTTGTATGATTTTTGTATTTCATCTCTCCCCCCTCTGCAATTGGGGCTATGTATCCTATAAGCAGCAATAAATTTCATTTTTAAAACAGAAAAAGAAGAAGAAAAAAAGAAAAAGAACAGAATGAGATGTAAATCAGTAGCGAAGAGCCACAAAGGTTTCAGTCGAAAAAAAATAACTCGTTTAGGAGGACCAAGAAAATTCTGGAGGTTGCCTTTGAGAATTGATTTGAATGAAAATCTAATTTTCAAGACAGAAAAGAATCGAAGCGTTTCACCTCTTCGCTACTGAAGAGATTAAATATTTCATTTAGTACTATGGGAGAGATGAAGAGCTGGTGCAGAAATAATGAAGTCGACGTGGTCTCCCTCAAATTCTAGAATAATCATGACTATCTCCGTCCTCTTGGAATGTTCATCGCCTTGGAAGTAAGGTCCGACATACTAGGAATAATCGTGCCTCCTTATTAAGTTATAATCCCACCACCCTAAATAGGTCACCCTGACGATGGTCAATAATTAGTGCGCAAGCACCTCAACCGTGAGATTAAAAAAAGTGATTTTTCGCTCCGAAAATTTCATATTAATTTTTA